GGAGGGGGGGGGGGAAGGGGGGAGGGGGTGGTTTAGGGGTGGGGGGGGGTGGAGGGGGAGGAGGGGGGGGGGAGGGGGGTGGGGGGGCGGGGGGAGGGGGGGGAGGGGGGGGAAAAGGGCGGGGGAGGGGGGGGGGCGGGGGGATTTTGGGGGGAGGGGGGGGAGGGGGTTTTAGGGGGAGCGGGGGGGGGGGGTGGGGCCGGGGGGGGGGGGCGGGGTGGGGGTTTTTAGGGGGCGGGGGGGGGGGGTGGGTTTAGGGGGGGAGGGGGTGCGGGGTGGGGGGGGGGGTGGTTTTGGGTGGGGGGAGTGGGGGGGGTTTTGGGGGGCCCGGGGGGTTTGTATTTTGGGGGGGGGGGGTTGGGTGGGTTTTTTGGGGCGGGGAAGGGGGGGGGCCGGGGGGGTTTTTTTAGTGGGGGGGGGGTGCCCGTTTCGGGGGTGGGGGGGGGGGCCGGGGGGGGGGGGGTGGATTTTTGGGGGAGGGGGGGTTTCGGGGGGGGCCTTTTAAAGGGGGGGGGGGGAGGGGGGTGTGTTTAGTGGGGAGGGGGGGGGAGGGGGGGGGGTTTTATGGGGTGGGGGGATTTTAAGGGGGGGGAAGGGGGGGGTGGGGGTTTTTGTATTTTAGGGGGGGAGGGGGTTTGTTTAGTGGGGAGTGGGGGGGGTATTTTAAATTTGGGAGGGGGGTGGTGGGGGGGTTTAGTTTAGGGGGGGAGTGGGGGTAGTTTAGGGGGGAGGGGGGTGTAGTTTAGTGGGGAGGGGGGGTTTTAAAGTTTAGTGGGGAGGGGGGGGTATTTTTGTGGGGGGGGGGTGTGTTTCCTTTTTTGTGGGGGGGGGTGGTTTGGGGGCGGGGGTGTGTTTGGGGGGGGGGGGTTGGGGTGTTTTTTGGGGGGGCGGGGGGGGGGGGTTCGTTTCGGTGGCGGGGGGGCTGGGGGGGGGGATTTGGTGGGGGGGGGGGGGGGGTTTGGGGGGGGGGAAGCGGGGGGGGGGGTGTTGGGGGAGGGGGGAGAGGGGGGTGTTTTTTAGTGGGGGGGGGGGGGAGTTTAGGGGGGACGGGGGGGGGGAGTTTAGGGGGGGGGCGGGGGGGGGGGTTTAGGGGGGAGCGGGGGGGGTTTGGGGAGTGGGGGGAAAGTTTAGGGGGGAGGGGGTTTGGAGTTTTTAAGGTTGGGTGGGGGGGGGGGGGTTGTGGGTTTTGGGGGGGGGGGTAGTTTAGTGGGGGAGGGGGGGGTTTAAAGAGGGGGGGGGGGGTGTAGTTTGGGAGAAGGGGGAGTGGGGGGGGTTAGTTTAGGAGAGGGGGGCGGGGATTTTGGCGGTGGGGAGGGGGGGGGGTGGGATTGATTTTTATTGGGGGGAGTGGGGGTTAGCGGGGCGGGGTCTTTTTGGGGGGGTTTGGGGGGGTTTTTTTATGGGGGGCCCGGGGTGTTTTTTGGGGGGGTGGGGGTTTTGTTTGTGGGGCGTTGGGGGGTTTTGGGTAGGGGGAGTGGGGTTTTGTGGTGGGGAAGGGGGGGGGGGTTTTTTTTAGGGGTGAGGGATTTTTTTAGGGGGTTTTTTGGGTTTTGGTTTTGAGGGGGCCGGGGGGGGGCCCGGGGGGGGGTTTTGCAGGGGCGGGGGGGGAGGGGGGGCGGGGGGGAAGGGGAAAAGGGGTTTAGGGGGGGAAAAAGGTGGGGGGGGGCGGGGGGGAGGGGGTTCCCGGGGGGGGGGAAAATCCTGGGGAAAGGGGCGGGGGGGGGGGGGAGGGGGGGGGAGGGGGGGGGTTAGGGGGGGGGGCGGGGGGGGGGGTTTAGGGGGGGAGGGGGGAGGGGGAGTGGGGAATTTTTTTAGTTTGGGGAGGGGGGGGGGTTGAGAGGGGGGGAGGGGGGGGTCTTTTAGGGGGGAAGGGGGGGGGGAGGGGGGAGAGGGGGGTGGGTTTTTTGGGGGGGGGGTTTTTTTGGGGGGACCCGGGGGGGAGGGGGAGGGGGAGCGGGGGGGGGGTTTGGGGGGTGGGGGCGGGGGGGGAGAAGGGGGGGTGGGGGCGGGGGGGCCCCCGGGGGAGGAAGGGGGGGGGCGGTTTAGGGGGGGGGGAAAGGGGGTGGGGGGGGGGGGGGTGGGGGGAGGGGGAGGGGGGGGGAGGGGGGGTTTTAGGGGGCCCCCGGGGGGGGAGGGGGGGGCGTGGGGTTGGTTTGGGGGGTGGGGGGGGTGGGGGGGGGGTAGGGTGGGGAGGGGGGGTGGGAGTTTTAGGGGGGACGGGGGTGTTTTTTTAGTGGGGAGGGGGGGGTGTTTTTTAAGGGGGGGGAGGGGGGGGAGCGGGGGGAAAGTTTAGTGGGGAGGGGTTTGGAGTTTAGGGGGGGGGGGGGTGTAGTTTAGGGGGAGGGGGGGAGGGGATGTATTTAGTGGGGGGGGGGTGGGTTTAGTGGGGGGGGGGGGTTTTTGGGGGTTTGTTTGGGTGGGAGGGGGGGGTAGTTTATTGGGGAGCGGGGTGTGTTTGGGGGGAGTGGGGTGTTTTTTTAGGGGGGGAGTGGGGGTTTGGTTATTTTTAAATGGGAGTGGTTTTTAGGTTTTTGGGGGGAAGTTGGGGTGTTTTTTTAAGTAATTTGGGGGGGATTTTGTGGGTTTTATTTTTTTGGGGAGGGGGGTGTATTTTAAAGTGGGGGAGCGGGGGGGCCCTTTTTGGGGGGGGGAGGGGGGTTTGAAAGTTTAGTGGGGGGTTGGGGGTAGTTTAGGGGGGGTGGGATTATTTTAGTGGGGAGGGCAACACCCTTTTATGGGGAAAGGAAACGCCCTTTTTTTAAACCCAATAAATGAGAACCAAATTTTTTAAGGGCTTTTGAGTTTTTGGGGCCATTAAGCCATTTTTTAGATTAACTCATGGATCCCTTTTTTTTATGTCCCCTTTTATGAAAGTTTGAAGTTTTTTGACGGTAGTTTCTGGACCCCTTCCCAACTAGCGGTTAGAACAATAAATTTGAAAGTTTACGGGAAAACCAGTTTCACACACACCCCACCCACACACACAACTTATGTGGGTCCCTGTACCCTCGGGGGGGTAGACCCCACGGCGCTTGAAAACCCAAGGTGGGGTTCGATCCCCGGGACCCCCCAATACACAAAAATGTTTTCACCAGGGCCTGTAAGTCGTTTTTGGTAAAAGCGTCTGCTAAATGGATATTTTTATTTTTATTTTTTGGAGTTTAGTGGGGAGGGGGGTTTGTGTTTTTAGGGGGGAAGGGGGGGTTGTAGTTTTTTTTGGGGGGAGGGGGTTTTTTTTTGGGGTTGGGGGAGCGGGGGGATTTTGGGGGTGAAATTTTTTTTTTGGGGAGGGGGGTGTAGTTTGGGTGGGAGGGGGGTTTAGTTTAGGGGGGAGTGGGGGTTTGTAGTTTAGGGGGGCGCGGGGTAGTTTAAGGGGGATTTGGGAGGGTATTTTTAGGGGGAGGGGGGTTTTGGTGTTTAGGGGGAGCGGGGTTTGTATTTTAAGGGGGGGAGCGGGGGGGGGGGGGTTTAGTTTAGTGGGGAGGGGGGGGTTTTTTTAAAGGGGGGAGGGGGGGGGGGAAGGGGGAGTTTTTATTGGGGGGGGGGGTTTTTTTAGTTTTTTTTAATGGGGATGGGGGTGTAGTTTAGTGGGGACGGGGGGGGGTTGGGGGTGTGGTTTTTTGTGGGGAGGGGGGTTTGGAGTTTAGTGGGGAGGGGGGTTTGTTTGGGGGGGGGTTTTGGGGTGTAATTTTTAGTGGGGATGGGGGGTTAGTTTAGTGGGGAGCGGGGGGGGATTTGGGTTTGTAGTTTTAGTGGGGAGCGGGGTGTTTTTAAAAGTGGGAGCGGGGGGGTTTCAAAGGGGGGAAGGGGGTTTGGGGGGAGGGGGGGGGCGGGGGGAGGGGGGGGGATTTGGGGGGGAAAGGGGGGGGGGGGGGGTTTTTTTTTGGAGGGGGGGGGGGGGTAAGGGGAAACGGGGGGGGGGGGTTGGGTTGGGGGGGTTTAAGGGGGAGGGGGGAGGGGGGGGGGGGGCGGGGGGAGGGGGGGGGGAAGGGGGGGGGTGGGGGAGGGGGGGGGGGGGGGGGGGGTTTTTGGGGGGAGGGGGGGGGGAAAGTGGGGGGGGGGGTTTTTTGGGAAAAAGGGGGGGGGGGGGCGGGGGGGGGGGGGTATTTGGGGGGGAGGGGGGTTTTTTTGGGGGGGGGGGGGGCGGGGGGGGGGGGGGGTTTGGGGGGAATGGGGGGGGGGGGGGGGTTTTATTGGGGAGGGGGGTTTATTTTGGGGGGGGAAAGGGGGGGGGGGGGGCTATTTATTTTGGGAGGGGGGGGTTGGGTTTAAAAAGGGGGTGGGATTTGGGGGGGGAGGGGGGCGGGGGGCGGGGAGTTTTAGTGGGGAGGGGGGGGGGGGTTTTGGGGGGGAAAGGGGGGGGGAGGGGGTCGGGGGTTCGGGGGGCCGGGGTGTTTTTTTGGGGGGGGGCGGTGGTCGTTTAGTGGGGGGTGGGGGGTCGGGGGGGGGAGGGGGGGGTTGGGGGGAGGGGGCTGGGGGGGGAAAGGGGGGTGGGGGAAGTGGGGGGGGGGGTGGGGAAGGGGGGAAAGGGGCGGGGGGGAGGGGGAGTGGGGGGTTTAGGGGGGAGGGCGTGGGGGGGGAGGGGGGAGGGGGGGGGGGGTTTGGGGGGGAAAAGGGGGGGGGGGGGGGTGGGGGGGGGGTAATTTTGGGGGTGGGGGGGGGGTTGGGGGGGGGGGGAGGGGGGGGGGGCGGGGTGGGGGGGTTTTTTGGGAGGGGGGGGGGGGAGGGGGGAGGGGGGGGGGTGGGGGGGGTAGTTTTTTGGGGAAAATTGGGGCGGGGGGTTTGGGGAGAGGGGGGGGGGGGGGTTTGGGGAAGGGGGAAAACGGGGGGGGGAGGGGATGTATTTAGGGGGGGGGCGGGGGTTTATTTAGGGGGGGGGGTTGGGGGGGTGTATTTTTATTTGGGGTTTTTGGGGGGGGGGGGGGGGTTTGGGTTTGGGGGGGGAGGGGGGTTTTGGGGGTTTAGTGGGGGGAGGGGGGGTGGTATTTTAGTGATGAGCGGGGGTGGGTTTTTAGTGGGGGGAGTGGGGTGTAAGTTTAGGGGGGAAAGGGGGGGGGGGAGTGGGGAATTGGCCGTTTAGGGGTTTAGGGGGTTTGTAAGTTTAGGATGAGGGGGGGTGCTTTGTGGGGACGGGGTGCGTTTAGGGGGAGGGGGGTGTCTTTTAGGGGGAGTGGGGGGAGTGGGGTGTATTTTTGGTGGGGGGACCCGGGGGGGGATTTTTTTGGGGAGTGGGGTGTATTTTTAATGGGGGCGGGGGGGGGGGGGGGTGTATTTTTAGGGGGGAGGGGGGGTGTATTTTAGTGGGGTTTGGGGGGGGTTAGTTTAGTGGGAGCGGGGGGGAGTGGGAGAAAGTTTGGGTGGGGGGGGGGTTTGGTAGTTTAGGGGGGGAGTGGGGTGTAGTTTGGGTGGGGGAGCGGGGGGGGTGGGTGGTTTGTTTTGTGTGGGAGTGGGGTTGTGTGAGGTTTTAGTGGGAGTGGGGTGTAGTTTAGTGATGAGCGGGGTGTAGTTTAGTGGGGAGTGGGGTGTAGTTTAGTGGGGAGCGGGGGGGAGTGGGATGTCGTTTAGTGATGAGTGGGGTGTAGTTTAGTGATGAGCGGGGTGTCGTTTAGTGGGGAGCGGGGTGTCGTTTAGTGGGGAGTGGGGTGTCGTTTAGTGGGGAGTGGGGTGTCGTTTAGTGATTTGTGTGGTGTACTTTACCGGACGTTGCTGGTGTCATTGAACTCCTCTGCCCACTTCTTCCGGTTCAGGGCGTTGGTGGAGCCGTCCAAACGGTAGTAGTCTATGTTCCGGAACCACTTCCCCTCACCTGCACAGGTAAACACCGTGTAGTTAGTACAGTCATCATACAGTTTGCCCTTTTTCTCCTGTCAGCTTCAGTTTAGCTAGGCAAGAGGCAGGCCTTCTCCTGTCAGCTTCAGTTTAGGTAAGCAAGAGGCAGGCCTTCTCCTGTCAGCTTCAGTTTAGCTAAACAAGAGGCAGGCCTTCTCCTGTCAGCTTCAGTTTAGGTAAGCAAGAGGCAGGCCTTCTCCTGTCAGCTTCAGTTTAGCTAAGCAAGAGGCAGGCCTTCTCCTGTCAGCTTCAGTTTAGCTAAGCAAGAGGCAAGTCTTCTCCTGTCAGCTTCAGTTTAGGTAAGCAAGAGGCAGGCCTTCTCCTGTCAGCTTCAGTTTAGCTAAGCAAGAGGCAGGCCTTCTCCTGTCAGCTTCAGTTTAGCTAAGCAAGAGGCAAGTCTTCTCCTGTCAGCTTCAGTTTAGCTAAGCAAGAGGCAGGCCTTCTCCTGTCAGCTTCAGTTTAGGTAGGCAAGAGGCAAGCCTTCTCCTGTCAGCTTCAGTTTAGGTAGGCAATACGCAAGCTTTCTCCCAAACCAATCCTTAAACAGGCCTAGTCCCAAAACAATCCCTAGACAGGCCTTGTTTCAAAATGCATCACTAGACTCTAGGACAGGGAGAACGACTGCCCCAACTTAACGAAGCCATTAAGTTCAAGGATGACCGCAGTACTGCAGGCATTGTTTGCAGAAAACAGGATCCCCCATTATAGTGGAAGGGAAAAAGTCATTTAAATTGCACACAAAATAAGTTATAAGCATAATTTAGTAGCTAATGGCAGCCTGCAGTACCCTGTCGGTCTTCAACTTCAGATACTCAATGAGAAAGTCTGCAATATCACTTCCTGGAGTAGATCAAACTGAGCATGACACCATATGGAGATGTAAAGTACTAAGAGAGAGGTGTAAGCTAAAGTACTGAGAGAGGTGTAAGCTAAAGTACTGAGAGAGGTGTAAGCTAAAGTACTGAGAGAGGTGTAAGCTAAAGTACTGAGAGAGTTGTAAGCTAAAGTACTGAGAGAGAGTTGTAAGCTAAAGTACTGAGAGAGAGGTGTAAGCTAAAGTACTGAGAGAGGTGTAAGCTAAAGTACTGAGAGAGAGGTGTAAGCTAAAGTACTGAGAGAGAGGTGTAAGCTAAAGTACTGAGAGAGGTGTAAGCTAAAGTACTAAGAGAGGTGTAAGCTAAAGTACTGAGAGATGTGTAAGCTAAAGTACTGAGAGAGGTGTAAGCTAAAGTACTGAGAGAGGTGTAAGCTAAAGTACTGAGAGAGAGGTGTAAGCTAAAGTACTGAGAGAGGTGTAAGCTAAAGTACTGAGAGAGGTGTAAGCTAAAGTACTAAGAGAGGTGTAAGCTAAAGTACTGAGAGAGAGGTGTAAGCTAAAGTACTGAGAGAGGTGTAAGCTAAAGTACTGAGAGAGGTGTAAGCTAAAGTACTGCGAGAGGTGTAAGCTAAAGTACTAAGAGAGGTGTAAGCTAAAGTACTGAGAGAGGTGTAAGCTAAAGTACTGAGAGAGGTGTAAGCTAAAGTACTGAGAGAGGTGTAAGCTAAAGTACTAAGAGAGGTGTAAGCTAAAGTACTAAGAGAGGTGTAAGCTAAAGTACTGAGAGAGGTGTAAGCTAAAGTACTTCCATAACAGAGAGTGTGTTCAGCTTTTTAATACAGCCTGCCACGCTGCCTGCTCCACAACTCTAACATTCAGTATGGTTCCAATTACTTCACTGATCTTTTCATTACAAATTGCAAACCCTTAAGCAAATATTTTTCTTGTGGGATAAAAAAAAAGTAAAGGTCTAATCATCAAAATGAAAGCAAAAACAGCTGCCGAGGTTTAATTAAGAACATCACCTAACGCCAGAGGCTGTGCTGAGAGGAGGGGCGGAGAGCGACAGTGTGTGCATGTACACATGTTGCATGTCTTCAGAGTTTGTTGCTTTCTGTCAGTACGACCTTAGTATTCTACCAGTAACACATGGTTTCTACCAGTAATACATGGTTTCTAGCAGTATACATGGTTTCTAGCAGTATACATGGTTTCTAGCAGTATACATGGTTTCTAGCAGTATACATGGTTTCTACCAGTATACATGGTTTCTAGCAGTATACATGGTTTCTACCAGTAATACATGGTTTCTAGCAGTATACATGGTTTCTACCAGTAATACATGGTTTCTACCAGTAATACATGGTTTCTAGCAGTATACATGGTTTCTAGCAGTATACATGGTTTCTAGCAGTATACATGGTTTCTAGCAGTATACATGGTTTCTACCAGTATACATGGTTTCTACCAGTATACATGTTTCTACCAGTATACATGGTTTCTAGCAGTATACGTGGTTTCTAGCAGTATACATGGTTTCTACCAGTATACATGGTTTCTACCAGTATACCGTATTGGTCCGAATATAAGACGGCCTTTTTTCCCCTCGAAATAGGTCCAAAAAAGTCGGGTCGTCTTATATTCGGGGTCTAGTATTCAGAGCGCAGTTTCTCTTCTTCGGCGCTCCCTTTAAATGTCAATACACATTCGCGGGCACAGATGGCGCCAAAAATTCGTTCCGGACGGAGGGAAGAGGCGTCCTTAACAACCAGCCCGTTACCGGTGTTTAAAGATGGAAAGACAGGCTGACCATTTAGAGACAAGTGGCTCAAAAGTGGGCCAGGTCAATAAACAACAGCGGAGGAGCTATGATGCCAATTTCAAAATAATGGTTGTCAATAAGGCAGAGTCATCTAACAACTGCCAAGCTGCCAAGACATTCGGGGTCACTGAGTGTAATGTAAGAAGATGGCGAGCAGAAAAACAACGTCTAAAAGATGCTAACAGTCAGCGAAAATCCTTCCGTGGTCCTCAAAGTGGTCGTTTCATTGAGGTTGACCGGAGGGTTTTTGAATATGTCAGGGAAAAAAGAAGTGAGGGAATGCCCATTACCAGAGCTGTCATCCAGGTTAAGGCCCTGGAAATCGCCAGAGAGCTCAACATCACTGGATTTAAAGCCAGCCTCGGCTGGTGTCGTAGGATGATGCGGCGTAATGGACTGTCACTTAGACGGAGAACGAGTTTGGCCCAACGCCTGCCGTCAGACTTCGGAGAGAAGCTGCTTTCGTTTCAGCGCTTTGTTATCAACCTGAGGAAGAAGCACTCCTACCCGCTGGATCAGATCGGCAATGCTGATCAGACACCCGTTTATTTCGACATGCCAACATCGGTGACTGTCAATAGAAAGGGAGAAAAGTCTGTGTTGGTGAAATCAACGGGCAACGAGAAGAGCCGCGTCACTGTCATGTTGACATGTCTCGCTGGTGGCAGCAAACTCCCCCCGTATGTCATTCTTAAGCGTAAGACTGTGCCAAAGGACCCAATGCCAGCTGGCATTATTGTGCGCGCCCAGGAGAAGGGCTGGATGGAGTCGGGGCTTGTAGTGGATGCTATTCCCTCACAGAGCATCATCGATGGCTTTAAAAAATGTTGCATCTCAAATGCATTGGACGGCAGCGAGGACGACGTGCTTTGGGAGGAGCCGGTGGAAGCGGAGCAGCTGGGGAGCGATGACAGCGAGAGCGAACACAGCGGGGCAGAGGACGTGTGTGAGGGATAGAGAGACATCGGAGGAGAAGTTTGGCGAATTTTTGTTAAGTTTAGTTAAATGTGTGGCCTGTATTTTCTCTGTTATTTAAAAATGTTGCTTTATTATTGCTTGATATTAATTTTGAATCATACTGTACATAGTTTGCCTTTGTGTTTAATTCACTGTGTTTTTAATATTGTTATTTTAAAATAAAATGAAGTTCTTTGTTCGGCAAATCTAGTCTGCAAATCTGTTTTTCTAAATGTTTGTGTTGAAAAACGGGGGGTCGTCTTATAATCAGGGTCGTCTTATATTCGGACCAATACGGTACATGGTTTCTACCAGTATACATGGTTTCTACCAGTATACATGGTTTCTACCAGTATATATGGTTTCTAGCAGTATATATGGTTTCTAGCAGTATACATGGTTTCTAGCAGTATACATGGTTTCTAGCAGTATACATGGTTTCTAGCAGTATACATGGTTTCTACCAGTATACGTGGTTTCTACCAGTAACACATGGTTTCTAGCAGTATACATGGTTTCTACCAGTAACACATGGTTTCTAGCCTAATATTTCTAGTGAACCTAAAGGAAAAGGTTGGGGAACACTAGGCTAGGGGTTGGTAGGGGTTAGTGTTAGGGTGTAGGGCCTAGAGGTTGGGGAACACTAGGCTAGGGGTTGGTAGGGGTTAGTGTTAGGGTGTAGGGCCTAGAGGTTGGGGAACACTAGGCTAGGGGTTGGTAGGGGTTAGTGTTAGGGTGTAGGGCCTAGAGGTTGGGGAACACTGGGCTAGGGGTTGGTAGGGGTTAGTGTTAGGGTGTAGGGCCTAGAGGTTGGGGAACACTAGGCTAGGGTTGGTAGGGGTTAGTGTTAGGGTGTAGGGCTAGAGGTTGGGGAACACTGGGCTAGGGTTGGTAGGGGTTAGTGTTAGGGTGTAGGGCCTAGAGGTTGGGGAACACTAGGCTAGGGGTTGGTAGGGGTTAGTGTTAGGGTTGTAGGGCCTCGAGGTTGGGGAACACTGGGCTAGGGGTTGGTAGGGGTTAGTGTTAGGGTGTAGGGCCTAGAGGTTGGGGAACACTAGGCTAGGGGTTGGTAGGGGTTAGTGTTAGGGTGTAGGGCCTAGAGGTTGGGGAACACTGGGCTAGGGGTTGGTAGGGGTTAGTGTTAGGGTGTAGGGCCTAGAGGTTGGGGAACACTAGGCTAGGGGTTGGTAGGGGTTAGTGTTAGGGTGTAGGGCCTAGAGGTTGGGGAACACTGGGCTAGGGGTTGGTAGGGGTTAGTGTTAGGGTGTAGGGCCTAGAGGTTGGGGAACACTAGGCTAGGGGTTTGGTAGGGGTTAGTGTTAGGGTGGTAGGGCCTAGAGGTTGGGGAACACTGGTAGGGGTTGGTAGGGGTTAGTGTTAGGGTGTAGGGCCTAGAGGTTGGGGAACACTAGGCTAGGGGTTGGTAGGGGTTAGTGTTAGGGTGTAGGGCCTAGAGGTTAGGGAACACTAGGCTAGGGGTTGGTAGGGGTTAGTGTTAGGGTGTAGGGCCTAGAGGTTGGGGAACACTAGGCTAGGGGTTGGTAGGGGTTAGTGTTAGGGTGTAGGGCCTAGAGGTTGGGGAACACTAGGCTAGGGGTTGGTAGTGGACAGGGTGGGTGTAGGGCCTAGAGGTTGGGGAACACTAGGCTAGGGGTTGGTAGGGGTTAGTGTGGGTGTAGGGCCTTGAGGTTGTGGTGTAGGGGTTAGTGTTAGGGTGTAGGGGTCAGTGTTAGGGTGTAGGGGTCAGTGTTAGGGTGTAGGGCCTTGAGGTTGTGGTGTAGGGGTTAGTGTTAGGGTGTAGGGCAGTATAGTACCTTTGTATGGAAAGGGTTTTTCCTCCTCGTTGGCTCGGCCAGCCAGCTCCAGGAAGTCTTCAATCAGGTCCAGAGAGATCAGAGACTGACTGAAGACCAGACTGATGAAGGGATAGAAGATACTGTCATGGTAACAGGACGTTTGGGGATAGAAGATACTGTCATGGTAACAGGACGTTTGGGGATAGAAGATACTGTCATGGTAACAGGACGTTTGGGGATAGAAGATACTGTCATGTTAACAGGACGTTTGGGGATAGAAGATACTGTCATGGTAACAGGACGTTTGGGGATAGAAGATACTGTCATGTTAACAGGACGTTTGGGGATAGAAGATACTGTCATGGTAACAGGACGTTTGGGGATAGAAGATACTGTCATGGTAACAGGACGTTTGGGGATAGAAGATACTGTCATGGTAACAGGACGTTTGGGGATAGAAGATACTGTCATGTTAACAGGACGTTTGGGGATAGAAGATACTGTCATGGTAACAGGACGTTTGGGGATAGAAGATACTGTCATGGTAACAGGACGTTTGGGGATAGAAGATACTGTCATGGTAACAGGACGTTTGGGGATAGAAGATACTGTCATGTTAACAGGACGTTTGGGGATAGAAGATACTGTCATGTTAACAGGATGTTTGGGGATAGAAGATACTGTCATGTTAACAGGACGTTTGAAAACATGGAAATGTTCCACTGCGCCATTTTGAAACATTTCATTCAAGCACTTAGCATTGATCAATTCAGTACATCTGGTCTCAAAGTGTTGCCTATTTCCAGAGCTTGGCAGGCGCCTTACACTTTGTCTTCCACCTCCTCGGCCATACGGAGGATCTCAAACAGCAGCACCATCTTCCCAGAATGCTCCAGGATCTCAGAGTCGGCCTCCGTGACAAACTCCTTGTGCCAGTCATGACTCCTGGTGCCAGGGCTGGAGGCTGGACGCACTGGGGAGAGCAGAGGGCAAGGGTTAGGTCAGAGCTGGATCAGTGAGGTCAGGTGGTCAGTATTCAGACCCCTTAGATTTCTTCACATTTTATCGTGGGATTAAAACCTAATAGATCTGATCTAATTGTCATTTTTTGTCAACAATCTACACAAAATATTCTAATGTCAAATAGGAAGATGCATACACTACCGTTCAAAAGTTTGTGGTCAATTTCCTTGTTTTCTAAAGAAAAGCTATTTTTTTGTCAATTAAAATAACATCAAATTGATCAGAAATACAGTGTAGACATTGTTAATGTTGTAAATGGCTTTTGTAGCTGGAAACAGCTGATTTTTAATGGAATATCTACATAGGCGTACAGAGGCCCATTATCAGCAACCATCAGTCCTGTGTTCCAATGGCACGTTGTGTTTGCTTATCCAAGTTTATCATTTTAATAAGCTAATTGATCATTAGAAAACCCTTTTGCAATGATGTTAGCACAGCTGAAAACTGTTGTGCTGATTAAAGAAGCAATAAAAAAAACTGGCCTTCTTGAGACTAGTTGAGTATTTGGAGCAACAGCAATTGTGGGTTTGAATATAGGCTCAAAACGGCCAGAAACAAATAACTTTCTTCTGAAACTCGTCAGTCTATTATTTTTCTGAGAAATGAAGGCTATTCCATGCGAGAAATTGCCAAGAAACTGAAGATCTCGTACAACGCTGTGTACTACTCCCTTCACAGAACAGCGCAAACCGGCTCTAACCAGAATAGAAAGAGGAGTGGGAGGCCCCGGTGCACAACTGAGCAAGAGGACAAATACATTAGAGTGTCTAGTTTGAGAAACAGACGCCTCACAGGTCCTCAACTGGTAGCTTCATTAAATAGTACCCGCAAAACACCAGTCTCAACGTCAACAGTGAAGAGGCGACTCCGGGATGCTGACCTTCAAGGCAGAGATGCAAAGAAAAAGCCATATCACAGACTGGCCAATAAAAAGAAAAGATGGGCAAAAGAACACAGACACTGGACTTTTTCTTTCTTTCAGAAGAATAATTTATTTCCTTCTTAATGCATTTGAGCCAATCAGTTGTGTTTTGACATGGTTGGGGGGGTATACAGAAGATAGCCCTATTTGGTAAAAGACCAAGTCCATATTATGGCAAGAACAGCTCAAATAAGCAAAGAGAAACGACAGTCCATCATTACTTTAAGACATAAAGGTCAGACAATACGGAACATTTCAAGAACTTTGAAAGTTTCTTCAAGTGCAGTCGCAAAAACCATCAAGCGCTATGATGAAACTGGCTCTCATGAGGACCGCCACAGGAATGGAAGACCCAGAGTTACCTCTGCTGCAGAGGATAAGTTCATTAGAGTTACCAGCCTCAGAAATTGCAGCCCAAATAAATGCTTCACAGAGTTCAATTAACAGACATATCTCAACATCAACTGTTCAGAGGAGACTGTGTGAATCAGGCCTTCATGGTCGAATTGCTGCAAAGAAACCACTACTAAAGGACACGAAGAAGAGACTTGCTTGGGCCAAGAAATACGAGCAATGGACATTAGACCGGTGGAAATCTGTCCTTTGGTCTGTAGTTTGAGATTTTTGGTTCCAACCGCCGTGTCTTTGTGAGACGCAGTGTGGGTGAACGGATGAACTCCGGGGGTGTATTTCCCACCGTGAAGCATGGAGGAGGTGTTGTTATGGTGTGGGGGTGCTTTGCTGGTGACACTGTCTGTGATTTATTTAGAATTCAAGTCACACTTAACCAGCATGGCTACCACAGCATTCTGCAGTGATTGAGGTGAAATGGAGGAGGAAAGACTATGTAACTATCGCGACCTCGAAGAAATCGAGAATGAAACTCATTTTATCCTCTATTGCCCTTTCTACCACGCTATACGCTTGGTCTGATTCCAGACAGACCACCAGATATACCCTGGCATTATGTGGCTGAGGAGACAGACCACCAGATATACCCTGGCATTATGTGGCTGAGGAGACAGACCACCAGATATACCCTGGCATTATGTAGCTGAGGAGACAGACCACCAGATATACCCTGGCATTATGTGGCTGAGGAGACAGACCACCAGATATACCCTGGCATTATGTGGCTGAGGAGACAGACCACCAGATATACCCTGGCATTATGTGGCTGAGGAGACAGACCACCAGATATACCCTGGCATTATGTAGCTGAGGAGACAGACCACCAGATATACCCTGGCATTATGTGGCTGAGGAGACAGACCACCAGATATACCCTGGCATTATGTGGCTGAGGAGTCAGACCACCAGATATACCCTGGCATTATGTGGCTGAGGAGACAGACCACCAGATATACCCTGGCATTATGTGGCTGAGGAGACAGACCACCAGATATACCCTGGCATTATGTGGCTGAGGAGACAGACCACCAGATATACCCTGGCATTATGTGGCTGAGGAGACAGACCACCAGATATACCCTGGCATTATGTGGCTGAGGAGACAGACCACCAGATATACCCTGGCATTATGTGGCTGAGGAGACAGACCACCAGATATACCCTGGCATTATGTGGCTGAGGAGTCAGACCACCAGATATACCCTGGCATTATGTGGCTGAGGAGACAGACCACCAGATATACCCTGGCATTATGTGGCTGAGGAGACAGACCACCAGATATACCCTGGCATTATGTGGCTGAGGAGACAGACCACCAGATATACCCTGGCATTATGTGGCTGAGGAGACAGACCACCAGATATACCCTGGCATTATGTGGCTGAGGAGACAGACCACCAGATATACCCTGGCATTATGTGGCTGAGGAGACAGACCACCAGATATACCCTGGCATTATGTGGCTGAGGAGACAGACCACCAGATATACCCTGGCATTATGTGGCTGAGGAGACAGACCACCAGATATACCCTGGCATTATGTAGCTGAGGAGACAGACCACCAGATATACCCTGGCATTATGTAGCTGAGGAGACAGACCACCAGATATACCCTGGCATTATGTAGCTGAGGAGACAGACCACCAGATATACCCTGGCATTATGTAGCTGAGGAGACAGACCACCAGATATACCCTGGCATTATGTGGCTGAGGAGACAGACCACCAGATATACCCTGGCATTATGTAGCTGAGGAGACAGACCACCAGATATACCCTGGCATTATGTGGCTGAGCCATGAGGAGACAGACCACCAGATATACCCTGGCATTATGTAGCTGAGCCATGAGGAGACAGACCACCAGATATACCCTGGCATTATGTAGCTGAGGAGACAGACCACCAGATATACCCTGGCATTATGTAGCTGAGGAGACAGACCACCAGATATACCCTGGCATTATGTGGCTGAGGAGACAGACCACCAGATATACCCTGGCATTATGTGGCTGAGGAGACAGACCACCAGATATACCCTGGCATTATGTGGCTGAGGAGACAGACCACCAGATATACCCTGGCATTATGTAGCTGAGGAGACAGACCACCAGATATACCCTGGCATTATGTGGCTGAGGAGACAGACCACCAGATATACCCTGGCATTATGTGGCTGAGGAGACAGACCACCAGATATACCCTAGCATTATGTGGCTGAGGAGACAGACCACCAGATATACCCTGGCATTATATGGCTGAGCCATGAGGAGAAACTGAATATGTTATGTATGTATGTGTATATATACGGTGTGTATGCATGTATATTATTTTACTGCTCTAGGGATATAATTATTGTTTGGATAACCTTATTTACTATTATGTATCGATTTTTACCTTACATTTTTTCCCTCTTTATGCGATGCGCAATGCAGAGAACACCGGAAGAAGAATTATAATTTAATTACCACAGTGAATTATTGTAATGTTTGTTTGTGTGTCAATTAATCCTATAAGGGATGGGTTGGCGATTTGACACGGAAATAAGGGATGGGTTGGCGATTTGACACGGAAATAAGGGATGGGTTGGCGATTTGACACGGAAATAAGGGATGGGTTGGCGATTTGACACGGAAATAAGGGATGGGTTGGCGATTTGACACGGAAATAAGGGATGGGTTGGCGATTTGACACGGAAATAAGGGATGGGTTGGCGATTTGACACGGAAATAAGGGATGGGTTGGCGATTTGACACGGAAATAAGGGATGGGTTGGCAATTTGACACGGAAATAAGGGATGGGTTGGCGATTTGACACGGAAATAAGGGATGGGTTGGCGATTTGACACGGAAATAAGGGATGGGTTGGCGATTTGACACGGAAATAAGGGATGGGTTGGCGATTTGACACGGAAATAAGGGATGGGTTGGCGATTTGACACGGAAATAAATTAAAGGTCCACCAGTCAAGTATTGAATTTCAAGCTGATTGGTAACAATAACCAATCAGACATTGAATATCTCTTTAAGCATGGTCAGGTTAATAATGACGCTGTGGACTATGTATTAAACCACCCAGACACATCAAAGATAGTATCCTCCCGAAGTGAGCTGCAGGACAGGAAGGAACCTGCTCAGGGACGCTACCATGAGGCCACTGGTCATTTTAAAACAGCTACAGAGGCCAAAGGCTGTGATGGGACAGGAAGGAACCTGCTCAGGGACGCTACCATGAGGCCACTGGTCATTTTAAAACAGCTACAGAGGCCAAAGGCTGTGATGGGACGGATCAATAACATTGTAATGACTCCACAATTATGACTTAAATGACAGAGTGAAAAGAAGCATAATATACATAATACAAATATTCCAAAACATGCATCCTGTACGCAACAAGGCACTAAAGTAATACTGCAACAAAACACAGCAAATTAATACACTTTATGTTTGGGGCAAATCCAACACAACACATCACTGAGTAACTTATTTTCAACCATGGTGGTGGCTGCTTCATGGTATGGGTATTCTTGACATCGGCAAAGACTGGGGAGTTTTTCAGGATGAAAATGGGATGGAGCTAAGCACAGGCAAAAATCCTAGAGCAAAGCCTGCTTCAGTCTGCTTTACACCAGACACTGGGGAGAGGAATTCACCTTTCAGCCGGACAATAACCTACAACACAAAGCCACATCTACACTGGAGTTGCTTACCAAGAAGACAGTGAATGTTCCCGAGTGGCCAAATTACAGTTTTGCCTTAAATCTGATTGAAAATCTATGGTAAGACTTGAACATTGCTGTCTAGGCCATGATCCCCAGCACCTTGACAGAGCTTGAAGAATTATGACAATTAGAGATTTACCCAGAAAGACACAGCTGTAATCGCTGCCAAAGGTGTTTCAAACATGTATTGACTCAGGGAGCTGAATACTCAGGGAGCTGAATACTGACGCAACGACTATATTTAAGTTATTTATCTTTTATTAACCTTTAAAAAATATATATAATTTTTATTCCACTTTGACAAAGTATCTTGCGTAGATTGTTGACAAAAAAAACAAAAAATTAAATTAATTGTAATCCCACTTTGTAACAATAAAATGTGAAGGAATACTTTCCCAAGGCATTATACATATGGGGTGAAACGCTCTGAGCACTGCAGATGGACATGTAACGAACAGAGCAAACACTGCTCCAATCCTCTACCTACCTGACATACAATATCTGTTCTACACCGTACCTTCCCATCATATGTTCTAACGTACAACACAACATTATATCAATCTACAGGCTGATGATTCTATACCTTCCTCCTCTGGCTCGGCCCGGTTGCGGCTGGATGGGTCTCCTCCTCTGGAGCTGGTGTTCCATTCCTTTATCACCTCCAGAGCATCGCTGTCCGAGTCACTGTTCTTCTTCTTAGCTTTCCCCCGCTTCTTCTTCCTACAGGGGGGGGGGGGGCAGAGCAGTGGAAGGTTGTATATTACAGTATGATAGACAGTCAACAGTGAAAGGTTGTATATTACAGTATGATAAACAGTCAACAGTGAAAGGTTGTATATTGCAGTATGATAGACAGTCAACAGTGAAAGGTTGTATATTGCAGTATGATAAACAGTCAACAGTGAAAGGTTGTATTGTGCAGTATGATAACGGTCAACCGTGAAAGGTTGTATATTGCAGTATGATAGACAGTCAACAGTGGAAGGTTGTATATTACAGTATGATAGAGAGTCAACAGTGAAAGGTTGTATATTGCAGTATGATAAACAGTCAACAGTGAAAGGTTGTATTGTGCAGTATGATAACGGTCAACCGTGAAAGGTTGTATATTGCAGTATGATAAACGGTCAACAGTGAAAGGTTGTATATTGCAGTATGATAAATGGTCAACCGTGAAAGGTTGTATTGTGCAGTATGATAACGGTCAACAGTGAAAGGTTGTATTGTGCAGTATGATAACGGTCAACAGTGAAAGGTTGTATTGTGCAGTATGATAACGGTCAACAGTGAAAGGTTGTATTGTGCAGTATGATAACGGTCAACAGTGAAAGGTTGTATTGTGCAGTATGATAACGGTCAACAGTGAAAGGTTGTATTATGCTGTATGATAAACAGTCAACAGTGAAAGGTTGTATTGTGCAGTATGATAACGGTCAACAGTGAAAGGTTGTATTATGCTGTATGATAAACAGTCAACAGTGAAAGGTTGTATTGTGCAGTATGATAACGGTCAACAGTGAAAGGTTGTATTGTGCAGTATGATAACGGTCAACAGTGAAAGGTTGTATATTGCAGTATGATAAACAGTCAACAGTGAAAGGTTGTATATTGCAGTATGATAAACAGTCAACAGTGAAAGGTTGTATATTGCAGTATGATAAACAGTCAACAGTGAAAGGTTGTATATTGCAGTATGATAAACAGTCAACAGTGAAAGGTTGTATATTGCAGTATGATAACGGTCAACAGTGAAAGGTTGTATATTGCAGTATGATAAACAGTCAACAGTGAAAGGTTGTATATTGCAGTATGATAAACAGTCAACAGTGAAAGGTTGTATATTGCAGTATGATAAACAGTCAACAGTGAAAGGTTGTATATTGCAGTATGATAAACAGTCAACAGTGAAAGGTTGTATATTGCAGTATGATAAACAGTCAACAGTGAAAGGTTGTATATTGCAGTATGATAAACAGTCAACAGTGAAAGGTTGTATATTGCAGTATGATAACGGTCAACAGTGAAAGGTCAGTCTGTCATGGAAGGAGCAGGTGTTCCTAATGTTTTGTACACAGTGTAATTGAGGTAATATCGAGGACAGTCGTGGTCAAAAGTTTTGAGAATGACACAAGTATTGGTCTTCACAAAGTTTGCTGCTTCAGTGTTTTTAGATATTTTTGTCAGATGTTACTATGGTATACTGAAGTATAATTACAAGCATTCCATAAGTGTCAAAGGCTTTTATTGACAATTACATTACGTTTATGCAAAGAGTCAATATTTGCAGTGTTGACCCTTCTTTTTCAAGACCTCTGCAATCCGCCCTGGCATGCTGTCAATTAACTTCTGGGCCACTTCCTGACTGATGGCAGCCCATTCTTGCATAATCAATGCTTGGAGTTTGTCCGAATTTGTGGGGTTTTGTTTGTCCACCCGCCTCTTGAGGATTGACCACAAGTTCTCAATGGGATTAAGGTCTGGGGAGTTTCCTGGCCATGGACCCAAAATGTCGATGTTTTGTTCCCCAAGCCACTTAGTTATCACTTTTGCCTTATGGCAAGGTGCTCCATCATGCTGGAAAAGGCATTGGTCGTCACCAAACTGTTCTTGGATGGTTGGGAGAAGTTGCTCTCGGAGGATGTGTTGGTACCATTCTTTATTCATGGCTGTGTTCTTAGGCAAAATTGTGAGTGAGCCCACTCCCTTGGCTGAGAAGCAACCCCACACATGAATGGTCTCAGGATGCTTTACTGTTGGCATGACACAGGACTGATGGTAGCGCTCACCTTGTCTTCTCCGGACAAGCTTTTTTCCAGATGACCCAAACAATCGGAAAGGGGATTCATCAGAGAAAATGACTTTACCCCAGTCCTCAGCAGTCCAATCCCTGTACCTTTTGCAGAATGTCAGTCTGTCAGTGATGTTTTTCCTGGAGAGAAATGGCTTCCTAGCTTTCCTTCTTGACACCAGGCCATCCTCCAAAAGTCTTCGCCTCACTGTGCGTGCAGATGCACTCACACCTGCCTGCTGCCATTCCTGAGCAAGCTCTGCACTGGTGGTGCCCCGATCCCGCAGCTGAATCAACTTTAGGAGACAGTCCTGGCGTTTGCTGGACTTTCTTGGGCGCCCTGAAGCCTTCTTCACAACAATTGAACCTCTCTCCTTGAAGTTCTTGATGATCCGATAAATGGTTGATTTAGGTGCAATCTTACTAGCAGCAATATCCTTGCCTGTGAAGCCCTTTTTGTGCAAAGCAATGATAACGGCACGTGTTTCCTTGCAGGTAACCATGGTTAACAGACGAAGAACAATGATTTCAAGCACCACCCTCCTTTTAAAGCTTCCAGTCTGTTATTCTAACTCAATCAGCATGACAGAGTGATCTCCAGCCTTGTCCTCGTCAACACTCTCACCTGTGTTAACGAGAGAATCACTGACATGATGTCAGCTGGTCCTTTTGTGGCAGGGCTGAAATGCAGTGGAAATGTTTTTTGGGGGATTAAGTTCATTTTCATGGCAAAGAGGGAATTTGCAATTCATCTGATCACTCTTCATAACATTCTGGAGTATATGCAAATTGCCATCATAAAAACAGAGGCAGCAGACTGTGAAAATTAACATGTGTCATTTTCAAAACTTTTGACCACGACTGGTCAAATGAAACCATTCTACTCTTCACTCCCTCACACTCCAGTAATATGGGGCAGAACTTTTGAGAACAACTTTTGGACTAGAAACTTTTTTTCAGTGATGGCAGCGCTCAGTTTCTCCTCTACACCCCATCTCCCTCTACACCCCATCTACACCCCATCTACACCCACTCTCTCCCAGTAAGAGGTCCACTGATCTCCCAGTCATCATCTTCACTCAATTGGACTGACTCTCTCGAAGGACAGCCGTTCCCTGACAGAACAGGTTTCAACCCTCTGCTCACATCTCCTCTCCCACCTCCTATAGGCGAACTAACCTCTCTAATTCACATGCAGCCCAGTTCCCTCTCCCCCCACACCCAAGCATTCAGGACAATCCTTCCAGGAACACCTCATCCCCTGACATCATAAGCCACCCCAATCCCCTCCCACCCCACCCCTTCCAACCCCATTCAAACCTTTCACCACCCACCCCTCCAACCCATCAACCCTCTCCACACCACACCCTCGCACACTACACCTCTACAAACCCTATCACCACCTCACCCCACACCATCTCCCTCTACCACCCCATCCCCCCCACCCATCTCCCTCTACAACACACCACTCCCTCCAACCCCATCCACCCCCATCCACCCACACACTCCCACCCACCCCCCACCCTCCCAACCACCCCACGTCCAACCACCACTCCCCTCCACCCCCTCCCACTACAAACCCCACTCCCCACACACCACACCATCCTCCCACCCACAACCCCGCAACGCAACCAACCACCCCCTCCAGCAAACCCCAAACCCACCAACCCATCATCCCCCCCCAACCCCAACGCCCCACACCCCACTCCCCACAACACCAGCCCAACAAACCCACAACCCATCAACAAACCCCAACTCCCCTACAAAAAAACGCACCCCTCCCACCCCACACCCTCACAAACCACCCCCTCCACCCCACTCCCTCTCCCCACCCCCAACCCCACTCACAAACCCCAATCCCCCCAAACCCCATCTACCCCTCCACCCACCCCACACAACCCAATCCCCCACACACGCCAACACCCTCCCACCCCATACCCTCTACAAACCCCACTCCCTCCAACCCCAACCCCTCAACCACCCCATCTCCCTACCCACCCATCTCCCCATCCACCCCATCACCCTCTCCACCCCATCTCCCTCTACACCCCATCTCCCTCTCCACCCCATCTCCCTCTCCACCCCATCTCCCTCTCCACCCCATCTCCCTCTCCACCCCATCTCCCTCTACACCCCATCTCCCTCTCCACCCCATCACCCTCTCCACCCCATCTCCCTCTACACCCCATCTCCCTCTCCACCCCTCTCCCCTACACCCATCTCCCCTCCCACCCCATCTCCCTCTACACCCCATCTCCCTCTCCACCCCAGCTACCAATCACACCTAAATAACATTCAAACTTATGGAATGGGGAAGCAGCTGGGGAGACTAATGACTGGTTAGGGGAAGCAGCTGAGGAGACTAATGACTGGTTAGGGGAAGCAGCTGAGGAGACTAATGACTGGTTAGGGGAAGCAGCTGGGGAGACTAATGACTGGTTAGGGGAAGCAGCTGAGGAGACTAATGACTGGTTAGGGGAAGCAGCTGAGGAGACTAATGACTGGTTAGGGGAAGCAGCTGAGGAGACTAATGACTGGTTAGGGGAAGCAGCTGAGGAGACTAATGACTGGTTAGGGGAAGCAGCTGGGGAGACTAATGACTGGTTAAGGGAAGCAGCTGAGGAGACTAATGACTGGTTAGGGGAAGCAGCTGAGGAGACTAATGACTGGTTAGAGGAAGCAGCTGAGGAGACTAATGACTGGTTAGGGGAAGCAGCTGGGGAGACTAATGACTGGTTAGGGGAAGCAGCTGGGGAGACTAATGACTGGTTAGGGGAAGCAGCTGGGGAGACTAATGACTGGTTAGGGAAGCAGCTGGGGAGACTAATGACTGGTTAAGGGAAGCAGCTGAGGAGACTAATGACTGGTTAGGGGAAGCAGCTGAGGAGACTAATGACTGGTTAGAGGAAGCAGCTGAGGAGACTAATGACTGGTTAGGGGAAGCAGCTGGGGAGACTAATGATGGTTTAGGGGAAGCAGGGCCTGGGGAGACTAATGACTGGTTAGGGGGAAGCAGCTGAGTGGAGACTAATGCCTGGTTAGGGGAAGCAGCTGAGGAGACTAATGACTGGTTAGGGAAAGCAGCTGAGGAGGACTAATGACTGGTTTAGGGGAAGCAGCACTGAGGAGGACTAATGATGGTTAGGGAAGCAGCTGAGGAACTAATGACTGGTTAGGGGAAGCAGCTGGGGAGACTAATGACTGGTTAGGGAAGCAGCAGGAGGAGACTAATGACTGGTTAGGGGAAGCAGCTGGGGAGACTAATGACTGGTTAGGGGAAGCAGCTGGGGAGACTAATGACTGGTTAGGGGAAGCAGCTGGGGAGACTAAGACTGGTTAGGGGAAGCAGCTGGGGAGACTAATGACTGGTTAAGGGGAAGCAGCTGGGAGGACTAATGACTGGTTAGGGGAAGCGCTGAGGAGACTAATGACTGGTTAGGGGAAGCAGCTGAGGAGACTAATGACTGGTTAGGGGAAGCAGCTGAGGAGACTAATGACTGGTTAGGGGAAGCAGCTGAGGAGACTAATGACTGGTTAGGGGAAGCAGCTGAGGAGACTAATGACTGGTTAGGGGAAGCAGCTGAGGAGACTAATGACTGGTTAGGGGAAGCAGCTGAGGAGACTAATGACTGGTTAGGGGAAGCAGCTGGGGAGACTAATGACTGGTTAGGGGAAGCAGCTGAGGAGACTAATGACTGGTTAGGGGAAGCAGCTGAGGAGACTAATGACTGGTTAGGGGAAGCAGCTGAGGAGACTAATGACTGGTTAGGGGAAGCAGCTGAGGAGACTAATGACTGGTTAGAGGAAGCAGCTGAGGAGACTAATGACTGGTTAGGGGAAGCAGCTGGGGAGACTAATGACTGGTTAAGGGAAGCAGCTGGGGAGACTAATGACTGGTTAGGGGAAGCAGCTGGGGAGACTAATGACTGGTTAGGGGAAGCAGCTGAGGAGACTAATGACTGGTTAAGGGAAGCAGCTGAGGAGACTAATGACTGGTTAGGGGAAGCAGCTGAGGAGACTAATGACTGGTTAGGGGAAGCAGCTGAGGAGACTAATGACTGGTTAGGGGAAGCAGCTGAGGAGACTAATGACTGGTTAGGGGAAGCAGCTGAGGAGACTAATGACTGGTTAGGGGAAGCAGCTGAGGAGACTAATGACTGGTTAGGGGAAGCAGCTGGGGAGACTAATGACTGGTTAGGGGAAGCAGCTGGGGAGACTAATGACTGGTTAGGGGAAGCAGCTGAGGAGACTAATGACTGGTTAGGGGAAGCAGCTGAGGAGACTAATGACTGGTTAGGGGAAGCAGCTGAGGAGACTAATGACTGGTTAGGGGAAGCAGCTGAGGAGACTAATGACTGGTTAGGGGAAGCAGCTGGGGAGACTAATGACTGGTTAGGGGAAGCAGCTGGGGAGACTAATGACTGGTTAGGGGAAGCAGCTGGGGAGACTAATGACTGGTTAGGGGAAGCAGCTGGGGAGACTAATGACTGGTTAGGGGAAGCAGCTGAGGAGACTAATGACTGGTTAGGGGAAGCAGCTGAGGAGACTAATGACTGGTTAGGGGAAGCAGCTGAGGAGACTAATGACTGGTTAGGGGAAGCAGCTGGGGAGACTAATGACTGGTTAGGGGAAGCAGCTGGGGAGACTAATGACTGGTTAGGGGAAGCAGCTGGGGAGACTAATGACTGGTTAGGGGAAGCAGCTGGGGAGACTAATGACTGGTTAGGGGAAGCAGCTGGGGAGACTAATGACTGGTTAGGGGAAGCAGCTGGGGAGACTAATGACTGGTTAGGGGAAGCAGCTGGGGAGACTAATGACTGGTTAGGGGAAGCAGCTGGGGAGACTAATGACTGGTTAGGGGAAGCAGCTGGGGAGACTAATGACTGGTTAGGGGAAGCAGCTGGGGAGACTAATGACTGGTTAGGGGAAGCAGCTGAGGAGACTAATGACTGGTTAGGGGAAGCAGCTGGGGAGACTAATGACTGGTTAGGGGAAGCAGCTGGCTTCTCACAGCTGTCACACCAGATATTGGATGAAGCACTCATTCTGATATGCCATATCTGACATCACTCTGAAATCTGATATTGTTGGACGTGTAGGGATGCATTCTGTGCTCAGTCATTCATTTCAATAAGAGAAACATCCACCATTATTCAGAGATCACACAGGGAGAAGATCTGTTCGCACCTCTTTTACAGCTCAATGGGTGATCAACCCTGGGAGTCTTATAGCTCAATCTTATAGGTTGGTGGTCTGAAAAATGTATGCACTCACTAACTGTAATAGTCTATGTGCCGGGGGGCTAGGGTCAGTCTGTTATATCTGGTGTTATTCTCCTGTCTTATCTGGTGTCCTGTGGGAATTTAAGTATGCACCCTCTAATTCTCTCTCTCTGTCCCTCCCGGAGGACCATGCCTCAGGACTACCTGGCCGGATGACTCCTGGCTGTCCCCAGTCCACCTGGTCGTTCCAGTTTCAACTCTTCTGCCTGCGGCTATGGAACCCTGACCTGTTCACCGGACGTGCTACCTTGTCCCGGACCTGCTGTTTTCAACTCTCTCTCTCTACGCCACCTGCTATTTCAACCTCTAAATGCCCGGCTATGAAAAGCCAAGTGACATTTACTCCTGATGTACTGACCTGTTGCAACCACTGTGATTATTATTTGACCCTGCTGGTCATCTATGAAGGTTTGAACATCTTGGAGAAAAATCTGGCCTTAATGGCCATGTACTGTTATAATCTCCCCCCGGCACAGCCAGAAGAGGACTGGCCACCCCTCAGAGCCTGGTTCCTCTCTAGGTTTCTTCCTAGGTTCCTGCCTTTCTAGGGAGTTTTTCCTAGCCACTGTGCTTCTACATCTGCATTGCTTGCTGTTTGGGGTTTTAGGCTGGGTTTCTGTATAGCACTTTGTGACATCTACTGATGTAAAAAGGGCTTTATAAATAGATTTTATTGAATGGGTGATACACTCTGGGCCTCTTTTATAGCTCAATGGGTGATACACTCTGCGTACTTTGTCAGACCCCCCCCACACCGTTTTCTTCCCACAGAGCTACACAACGGAGAATATCGCAAAAAAGGTGAATATAGCCGAAAAGTGACGAGTTTGCATTCCTGTAAATAACGTGGTTACTTTTTCTGTTTCTCGTCCTCAGAGGTCATGCTCATAGAAGACTCCTCGGTCTCCGAGGCGATGAACTCTTCCATGCTGTCCTCATCAAAGTACCCCTAAAACACAAGATACACAGTCAGAACCCCTAAAACACAAGATACACAGTCAGAACCCCTAAAACACAAGATACACCGAAAGTCAAATCAGAGCAGGAACATGGTTTAATAAAGACAAGTACAAAGGCCTCAAAGCTACCAGCAGGCCCAAAATGTTCCATTGGAACCAATAGGAGCTCTGGCGAGGAGGGGTAACAGATGGGAGGAGCGGCGGGTTGAGGGGTAACAGATGGGAGGAGCGGCAGGTTGAGGGGTAACAGATGGGAGGAGCGGCAGATTGAGGGGGTAACAGATGGGAGGAGCGGCGGGTTGAGGGGTAACAGATGGGAGGAGCGGCGGGTTGAGGGGTAACAGATGGGAGGAGCGGCAGGTTGAGGGGTAACAGATGGGAGGAGCGGCAGGTTGAGGGGTAACAGATGGGAGGAGCGGCGGGTTGAGGGGTAACAGATGGGAGGAGCGGCGGGTTGAGGGGTAACAGATGGGAGGAGCGGAAGGTTGAGGGGTAACAGATGGTAGCGGCAGGTTGAGGGGTAACAGATGGGAGGAGCGGCAGGTTGAGGGTAAAGATGGAGGAGCGGAAGGTTGAGGGGTAACAGATGGTAGCGGCAGGTTGAGGGGTAACAGATGGGAGGAGCGGCAGGTTGAGGGGTAACAGATGGGAGGAGCGGCAGGTTGAGGGGTAACAGATGGAGGAGCGGCAGGTTGAGGGGTAACAGATGGGAGGAGCGGCGGTTGAGGGGTAACAGATGGGAGGAGCGGCAGGTTGAGGGGTAACAGATGGGAGGAGCGGCAGGTTGAGGGGTAACAGATGGGAGGAGCGGCAGGTTGAGGGGTAACAGATGGGAGGAGCGGCAGGTTGAGGGGTAACAGATGGGAGGAGCGGCAGGTTGAGGGGTAACAGATGGGAGGAGCGGGCAGGTTGAGGGGTGGGTAACAGATGGGAGGAGCGGCAGGTTGAGGGGTAACAGATGGGAGGGGCAGGTTGAGGGGTAACAGATGGGAGGAGCGGCAGGTTGAGGGGGTAAACAGATGGGAGGAGCGTTGAGGGGTTGTAGGGAGGTGGGGTAACAGATGGGAGGAGCGGCAGGTGGGGTAAAGATGGAGGAGGAGTGAGGGGTAACAGATGGGAGGAGCGGCAGGTTGAGGGGGGTAACAGATGGGAGGAGCGGGCAGGTTGAGGGGTAACAGATGGGAGGAGCGAGCGGAGGTTGAGGGGTAACAGATGGGAGGAGCGGCAGGTTGAGGGGTGTAACAGATGGGAGGAGCGGCAGGTTGAGGGGTAACAGATGGGAGGAGCGGAGGCTTGAGGGGAAAGTGTGGAGGAGGCGTGAGGGGTAACAGATGGGAGGAGCGGCAGGTTGAGGGGTAACAGATGGGAGGAGCGGCAGGTTGAGGGGTAACAGATGGGAGGAGCGGCAGGTTGAGGGGTGTAACAGATGGGAGGAGCGGCAGGTTGAGGGGTAACAGATGGGAGGAGCGGCAGGTTGAGGGGTAACAGATGGGAGGAGCGGCAGGTTGAGGGGTGGAACAGATGGGAGGAGCGGCAGGTTGAGGGGTAACAGATGGGAGGAGCGGCAGGTTGAGGGGTAAAGTGGAGAGCGGCGTTGAGGGGTAACAGATGGGAGGAGCGGCAGGTTGAGGGGTAACAGATGGGAGGAGGCAGGAGGGTTACAGATGGGAGGAGCGGAGGAGGGTCGTGGAGGCCGTTAGGGAACAGATGGGAGGAGCGGAGGTGAGGGGTAACAGATGGGAGGAGCGGCAGGTTGAGGGTGTAACAGATGGGAGGAGCGGGCAGGTTGAGGGGGTAACAGATGGCGAGGAGGGACAGAGAGAGCGGCAGGTTGAGGGGTAACAGATGGGAGGAGCGGCAGGTTGAGGGGTAACAGATGGGAGGAGCGGCAGGTTGAGGGGTGAACAGATGGGAGGAGGCAGTGCAGGAGGTTGAGGGGTAACAGATGGGAGGAGCGGCAGGTTGGGGGTAACAGATGGGAGGAGCGGCAGGTTGAGGGGTAACAGATGGGAGGAGCGGCAGGTTGAGGGGTAACAGATGGGAGGAGCGGCAGGTTGAGGGGTAACAGATGGGAGGAGCGGCAGGTTGAGGGGTAACAGGACGTGGGTAGTGGGAGGAGGCGGAGGTTGAGGGGTAACAGATGGGAGGAGCGGCAGGTTGAGGGGTAACAGATGGGAGGAGCGGCAGGTTGAGGGGGTAACAGATGGGAGGAGCGGCAGGTTGAGGGGGTAACAGATGGGAGGAGCGGCAGGTTGAGGGGTAACAGATGGGAGGAGCGGCAGGTTGAGGGGTAACAGATGGGAGGAGCGGACAGGTTGAGGGGGTGGTAACAGATGGAGGAGCGGCAGGTGAGGCAGATGAGGGGTTGGTAACAGATGGGAGGAGCGGACAGGTTGAGGGGTTAACAGATGGGAGGAGCGGCAGGTTGAGGGGTAACAGATGGAGAGGATGAGGAAGGGGAGGGCAGGTTGGTAACAGTGGAGAGGCGGTTGAGGGGTAACAGATGGGAGGAGCGGAAGGTTGAGGGGTAACAGATGGGAGGAGCGGCAGGTTGAGGGGTAACAGATGGGAGGAGCGGAGGTTGAGGGGTAACAGATGGGAGGAGCGGCAGGTTGAGGGGTAAGGTAAAGATGGGGAGGGAGAGCGGCAAGGTTGAGGGGTAACAGATGGGAGGAGCGGCAGGTTGAGGGGTAACAGATGGGAGGAGCGGCAGTAGAACGATGGGAGGGTAGGTAACAGATGGGAGGAGCGGCAGGTTGAGGGGTAACAGATGGGAGGAGCGGCAGGTTGAGGGGTAACAGATGGGAGGAGCGGCACGTTGAGGGGTAACAGATGGGAGCGGCAGGTTGAGGGGTAACAGATGGGAGCGGCAGGTTGAGGGGTAACAGATGGGAGCGGCAGGTTGAGGGGTAACAGATGGGAGGAGCGGCAGGTAGGTTCTCCTGGGGTGTAGTCACCTTGTTTTCCTTGCTGATGTAGTCCAGCTGGAGACACCAGGGATGGGTCCAGATTCTGCTGAGCATCTGGAAGTCCTGGAAGAGTTTGGTCCCGGCTCGGCCCCGACCCCCCTCCACCACGTTCCCCGCACCTGCACACAGAGACAGAGAGAGAGACAGAGAGAGAGAGAGACAGACAGACACAGAGAGAGAGACAGACAGACACAGAGAGAGAGACACAGACAGACAGACAGACAGAGCCAGAACGACAGACAGAGCCAGAACGACAGAGACAGAGGTGTGTGAGAGGGGGAGAGAGAGAGAGAGAGAGAGACAAAGAGGTGTGAGACAGGGAGAATGTATATATGTTTCATGCCCATCCCAGCTGAATAAGGTACCACTCCCTCACACTCATATCAACACCAGAACAATGTGAGACGTAACACTTCAACATCTACACTCATATCAACACCAGGACAATGTGAGACGTAACACTTCAACATCTACACTCATATCAACACCAGGACAATGTGAGACGTAACACTTCAACATCTCCACTCATATCAACACCAGGACAATGTGAGACGTAACACTTCAACATCTACACTCATATCAACACCAGGACAATGTGAGACGTAACACTTCAACATCTACACTCATATCAACACCAGGACAATGTGAGACGTAACACTTCAACATCTACACTCATATCAACACCAGGACAATGTGAGACGTAACACTTCAACATCTACACTCATATCAACACCAGGACAATGTGAGACGTAACACTTCAACATCTCCACTCATATCAACACCAGGACAATGTGAGACGTAACACTTCAACATCTACACTCATATCAACACCAGGACAATGTGAGACGTAACACTTCAACATCTACACTCATATCAACACCAGGACAATGTGAGACGTAACACTTCAACATCTACACTCATATCAACACCAGGACAATGTGAGACGTAACACTTCAACATCTACACTCATATCAACACCTGAACAATGTGAGACATAACACTTCAACATCTCCAATCTGAAACACAAGCTTTGATTAGTGCTAAAGGTTATTATGTTTTGGGATGTTCTATTCCTTTCTATTAGTTATTATGTTTGGGGATGTTCTATTCCTTTCTATTAGTTATTATGTTTGGGGATGTTCTATTCCTTTCTATTAGTTATTATGTTTGGGGATGTTCTATTCCTTTCTATTAGTTATTATGTTTGGGGATGTTCTATTCCTTTCTATTAGTTATTATGTTGGGGATGTTCTATTCCTTTCTATTAGTTATTATGTTTGGGGATGTTCTATTCCTTTCTATTAGTTATTATGTTGGGGATGTTCTATTCCTTTCTATTAGTTATTATGTTTGGGGATGTTCTATTCCTTTCTATTAGTTATTATGTTTGGGATGTTCTATTCCTTTCTATTAGTTATTATGTTTGGGGATGTTCTATTCCTTTCTATTAGTTATTATGTTGGGGGATGTTCTATTCCTTTCTATTAGTTATTATGTTGGGGATGTTCTATTCCTTTCTATTAGTTATTATGTTTGGGGATGTTCTATTCCTTTCTATTAGTTATTATGTTTGGGGATGTTCTATTCCTTTCTATTAGTTATTATGTTTGGGGATGTTCTATTCCTTTCTATTAGTTATTATGTTTGGGATGTTCTATTCCTTTCTATTAGTTATTATGTTTGGGGATGTTCTATTCCTTTCTATTAGTTATTATGTTGGGGGATGTTCTATTCCTTTCTATTAGTTATTATGTTGGGGATGTTCTATTCCTTTCTATTAGTTATTATGTTGGGGGATGTTCTATTCCTTTCTATTAGTTATTATGTTGGGGGATGTTCTATTCCTTTCTATTAGTTATTGTGTTTGGGGATGTTCTATTCCTTTCTATTAGTTATGTTTGGGGATGTTCTATTCCTTTCTATTAGTTATTATGTTGGGGGATGTTCTATTCCTTTCTATTAGTTATTATGTTGGGGGATGTTCTATTCCTTTCTATTAGTTATTATGTTTGGGGATGTTCTATTCCTTTCTATTAGTTATTATGTTTGGGGATGTTCTATTCCTTTCTATTAGTTATTATGTTGGGGGATGTTCTATTCCTTTCTATTAGTTATTATGTTTGGGGATGTTCTATTCCTTTCTATTAGTTATTATGTTTGGGGATGTTCTATTCCTTTCTATTAGTTATTATGTTTGGGGTTGTTCTATTCCTTTCTATTAGTTATTATGTTTGGGGATGTTCTATTCCTTTCTATTAGTTATTATGTTTGGGGATGTTCTATTCCTTTCTATTAGTTATTATGTTTGGGGATGTTCTATTCCTTTCTATTAGTTATTATGTTTGGGGATGTTCTATTCCTTTCTATTAGTTATTATGTTGGGGATGTTCTATTCCTTTCTATTAGTTATTATGTTTGGGGATGTTCTATTCCTTTCTATTAGTTATTATGTTTGGGGATGTTCTATTCCTTTCTATTAGTTATTATGTTGGGGGATGTTCTATTCCTTTCTATTAGTTATTATGTTGGGGGATGTTCTATTCCTTTCTATTAGTTATTATGTTGGGGATGTTCTATTCCTTTCTATTAGTTATTATGTTTGGGGATGTTCTATTCCTTTCTATTAGTTATTATGTTTGGGGATGTTCTATTCCTTTCTATTAGTTATTATGTTGGGGGATGTTCTATTCCTTTCTATGAGTTATTATGTTTGGGGATGTTCTATTCCTTTCTATTAGTTATTATGTTGGGGGATGTTCTATTCCTTTCTATTAGTTATTATGTTGGGGATGTTCTATTCCTTTCTATTAGTTATTATGTTTGGGGATGTTCTATTCCTTTCTATTAGTTATGTTTGGGGATGTTCTATTCCTTTCTATTAGTTATTATGTTTGGGATGTTCTATTCCTTTCTATTAGTTATTATGTTTGGGATGTTCTATTCCTTTCTATTAGTTATTATGTTTGGGGATGTTCTATTCCTTTCTATTAGTTATTATGTTGGGGGATGTTCTATTCCTTTCTATTAGTTATTATGTTGGGGATGTTCTATTCCTTTCTATTAGTTATTATGTTTGGGGATGTTCTATTCCTTTCTATTAGTTATTATGTTGGGGGATGTTCTATTCCTTTCTATTAGTTATTATGTTTGGGGATGTTCTATTACTTTCTATTAGTTATTATGTTGGGGGATGTTCTATTCCTTTCTATTAGTTATTATGTTTGGGGATGTTCTATTCCTTTCTATTAGTTATTATGTTGGGGGATGTTCTATTCCTTTCTATTAGTTATTATGTTGGGGATTCCTTTCTATTAGTTATTATGTTTGGGGATGTTCTATTGATTTCTATTAGTTATGTTTGGGGATGTTCTATTCCTTTCTATTAGTTATTATGTTGGGGGATGTTCTATTCCTTTCTATTAGTTATTATGTTGGGGGATGTTCTATTCCTTTCTATTAGTTATTATGTTGGGGATGTTCTATTCCTTTCTATTAGTTATTATGTTGGGGGATGTTCTATTCCTTTCTATTAGTTATTATGTTTGGGGATGTTCTATTCCTTTCTATTAGTTATTATGTTGGGGATGTTCTATTCCTTTCTATTAGTTATTATGTTGGGGGATGTTCTATTCCTTTCTATTAGTTATTATGTTTGGGATGTTCTATTCCTTTCTATTAGTTATTATGTTGGGGATGTTCTATTCCTTTCTATTAGTTATTATGTTGGGGATGTTCTATTCCTTTCTATTAGTTATTATGTTGGGATGTTCTATTCCTTTCTATTAGTTATTATGTTGGGGGATGTTCTATTCCTTTCTATTAGTTATTATGTTGGGGGATGTTCTATTCCTTTCTATTAGTTATTATGTTGGGGATGTTCTATTCCTTTCTATTAGTTATTATGTTGGGATGTTCTATTCCTTTCTATTAGTTATTATGTTTGGGGATGTTCTATTCCTTTCTATTAGTTATTATGTTGGGGGATGTTCTATTCCTTTCTATTAGTTATTATGTTGGGGGATGTTCTATTCCTTTCTATTCGTTTTTAGATTATTATTTGAAATTCAGCTCAGTTGATTTACTAGTTTTATTCCGTTTCAGTTTGATAAAACATTTCTATTTCGTTGTTCTATAATTTAGTTGTAGTGTTAGGGACAGAGAGTAGCCTTCTGCATGACAGGTTAGGAGCCATTTATGTACTCTGGACCTTTAGTCTATACCAGGGCTACTCTGGACCTATAGTCTATAGCAGGGCTACTCTGGACCTATAGTCTATAGCAGGGCTACTCTGGACCTATAGTCTATACCAGGGCTACTCTGGACCTATAGTCTATAGCAGGGCTACTCTGGACCTATAGTCTATACCAGGGCTACTCTGGACCTATAGTCTATACCAGGGCTACTCTGGACCTATAGTCTATACCAGGGCTACTCTGGACCTATAGTCTATAGCAGGGCTACTCTGGACCTATAGTCTATAGCAGGGCTACTCTGGACCTATAGTCTATAGCAGGGCTACTCTGGACCTATAGTCTATACCAGGGCTACTCTGGACCTATAGTCTATAGCAGGGCTACTCTGGACCTATAGCAGGGCTACTCTGGACCTATAGCAGGGCTACTCTGGACCTATAGCAGGGCTACTCTGGACCTATAGCAGGGCTACTCTGGACCTATAGCAGGGCTACTCTGGACCTATAGTCTATAGCAGGGCTACTCTGGACCTATAGCAGGGCTACTCTGGACCTATAGTCTATACCAGGGCTACTCTGGACCTATAGTCTATAGCAGGGCTACTCTGGACCTATAGCAGGGCTACTCTGGACCTATAGCAGGGCTACTCTGGATCTATAGCAGGGCTACTCTGGACCTATAGCAGGGCTATTCTGGACCTATAGTCTATAGCAGGGCTACTCTGGACCTATAGTCTATACCAGGGCTACTCTGGACCTATAGTCTATACCAGGGCTACTCAAGTACTATTTGAGAAGGTCCGGTCACACACATTTCCTAGGTGGCAAAGGACCTGGATGGATAGTCATTATACCGGAGTAGTAACAAATCCCCGCCTCGCAAACCCAAACTGTTTAAACTCTTCACACCCTTCTTGTTGCAGATACATATTTTTTTGCAGTTTTAAAGCAAATTTACTGCAATTCTACAAATGTTCCACGTCTTGTGTGTGTTCATATGGTACCAGGAGTCAAATCCTGACCGAATTCCAAAAAATAAAATATCCTTTATCCTGAAATTCTTTGTGGGTGCTGTTCAGATGAACGTGGAGGTTGGTTGGGTTTTCCCTTTGACCTCTGCTCCACACAGGCTGCCATCTCCCTTTCCAGCAATGTACTCAAAATAATCCCATACAGGGCTTTGCATTTTGTGACCGACCACCGTCAATGTTCACGCCTGTGGGTCACGCCTGTGGGTCACGCCTGGGGGTCACTCTTACACGCCGCACACGCCCTCAGATGTCTTCCAACGTTAGCTACTGAACCAGTGGTAGTGAAGCCCAGTCGTTAGCTCCTGAACCAGTGGTAGTGAAGCCCAGTCGTTAGCTCCTGAACCAGTGGTAGTGAAGCCCAGTCGTTAGCTCCTGAACCAGTGGTAGTGAAGCTCAGTCGTTAGCTCCTGAACCAGTGGTAGTGAAGCTCAGTCGTTAGCTCCTGAACCAGTGGTAGTGAAGCCCAGTCGTTAGCTCCTGAACCAGTGGTAGTGAAGCCCAGTCGTTAGCTCCTGAACCAGTGGTAGTGAAGCCCAGTCGTTAGCTCCTGAACCAGTGGTAGTGAAGCCCAGTCGTTAGCTCCTGAACCAGTGGTAGTGAAGCTCAGTCGTTAGCTACTGAACCAGTGGTAGTGAAGCTCAGTCGTTAGCTACTGAACCAGTGGTAGTGAAGCTCAGTCGTTAGCTCCTGAACCAGTGGTAGTGAAGCTCAGTCGTTAGCTCCTGAACCAGTGGTAGTGAAGCTCAGTCGTTAGCTCCTGAACCAGTGGTAGTGAAGCTCAGTCGTTAGCTCCTGAACCAGTGGTAGTGAAGCTCAGTCGTTAGCTACTGAACCAGTGGTAGTGAAGCCCAGTCGTTAGCTCCTGAACCAGTGGTAGTGAAGCCCAGTCGTTAGCTCCTGAACCAGTGGTAGTGAAGCTCAGTCGTTAGCTCCTGAACCAGTGGTAGTGAAGCCCAGTCGTTAGCTCCTGAACCAGTGGTAGTGAAGCCCAGTCGTTAGCTCCTGAACCAGTGGTAGTGAAGCCCAGTCGTTAGCTACTGAACCAGTGGTAGTGAAGCCCAGTCGTTAGCTCCTGAACCAGTGGTAGTGAAGCTCAGTCGTTAGCTCCTGAACCAGTGGTAGTGAAGCTCAGTCGTTAGCTCCTGAACCAGTGGTAGTGAAGCTCAGTCGTTAGCTCCTGAACCAGTGGTAGTGAAGCTCAGTCGTTAGCTACTGAACCAGTGGTAGTGAAGCCCAGTCGTTAGCTCCTGAACCAGTGGTAGTGAAGCTCAGTCGTTAGCTCCTGAACCAGTGGTAGTGAAGCTCAGTCGTTAGCTCCTGAACCAGTGGTAGTGAAGCTCAGTCGTTAGCTCCTGAACCAGTGGTAGTGAAGCTCAGTCGTTAGCTCCTGAACCAGTGGTAGTGAAGCTCAGTCGTTAGCTACTGAACCAGTGGTAGTGAAGCTCAGTCGTTAGCTACTGAACCAGTGGTAGTGAAGCTCAGTCGTTAGCTCCTGAACCAGTGGTAGTGAAGCCCAGTCGTTAGCTCCTGAACCAGTGGTAGTGAAGCTCAGTCGTTAGCTACTGAACCAGTGGTAGTGAAGCTCAGTCGTTAGCTCCTGAACCAGTGGTAGTGAAGCTCAGTCGTTAGCTCCTGAACCAGTGGTAGTGAAGCCCAGTCGTTAGCTCCTGAACCAGTGGTAGTGAAGCTCAGTCGTTAGCTACTGAACCAGTGGTAGTGAAGCTCAGTCGTTAGCTCCTGAACCAGTGGTAGTGAAGCCCAGTCGTTAGCTCCTGAACCAGTGGTAGTGAAGCTCAGTCGTTAGCTCCTGAACCAGTGGTAGTGAAGCTCAGTCGTTAGCTCCTGAACCAGTGGTAGTGAAGCCCAGTCGTTAGCTACTGAACCAGTGGTAGTGAAGCTCAGTCGTTAGCTCCTGAACCAGTGGTAGTGAAGCCCAGTCGTTAGCTCCTGAACCAGTGGTAGTGAAGCTCAGTCGTTAGCTACTGAACCAGTGGTAGTGAAGCCCAGTCGTTAGCTCCTGAACCAGTGGTAGTGAAGCTTATTTGAAACATTGCTATCTACTGGCAGCCTTTACCTGCCAGATTGAAAACCCCGTTTAATATTACATTACATTTACATTTTAGTCATTTAGCAGACGCATTATCTAGAGCGACTTACAGTTAGTGAGTGCATACATTTTCCATACTGGCCCCCCGTGGGAATCGAACCCACAACCCTGGCGTTGCAAGGGCCCTGCTCTACCAACTGGGCTACAGGGGACTACATCAGTGTTGCCCAAAGTGTTTTTGTTGTTGTTTTTTGCAGTCAAAAGGTAAGTTCCGGTATAGTTAAAGTTTTCCAATGTTTTTCGTAATCATCTTATTTCAGTTTACTAAATTGTTTTTTAAATACTGCGAGATTGAGATTTACCCAGAGTCAGACAGACTCATAGATACCATTTTTATGTCTCTGCGTGCAGTTCTGAGATTTTTGAAGTTACATAGAAATGTATAGAGATCGCAATGTTGTATCTCTCTCAATGGTGCTGCCCTTGCGCTCACAGGTGCCATAATCGGACAGCTCCGACGTTGCGATCTCTATGGGACAGAGAATGAGGAAGTGGATAGAATCTTGTTTCTTTTGATTCTCAGTAAAACGTACAAATGTATAAAATATTGATGACTATGTATAGCTTTTGTAAGACTATAAATGACCAACCACCCAGCATTGGAGTAGTTACAAAGTCTATTTCCTGGCTTTTGAGAGGAACTGGCTACTGTACCGGTAGACTTCCAGCAATTGCGCTAAGCTAACGATATGCTAACTTCAATAATATCCAAACTTAATGAAAGCTGAGAGAGGGAGCTGAAAGTCTTCAAAACAGACAGTCCACACCAGTGGCGCCGGAGGAGATGGCTGCCGTTTTACGGGCTCCTAACCAATTGTGCTATTTTGTGTGTTTTTCCGCGTTTTTTGTAACTCATTTTGTACATAATGTTTCTGCCACCGCATCTTATGACCGAAAAGAGCTTCTGGATATCAGAAGTCGGACGCGAAGGATTTACTGCTGATACCGGACCAGGCCCAAATCCCTGTCATTAGCATGAAGAAGAGAGGGGACGCAGGTCGGAGTGCCTTGATAACCCGCCTCTACCGTCCGTCCTATTGGCCAACGTGCAATCACTGGAGAATAAACTGGATGAGCTCCGTTCAAGACTATCCTACCAACGGGACATTAAAAACTGTAATATCTTATGTTTCACCGAGTCGTAGCTGAACGACATGGATAATATACAGTTGGCTGGGTTTTCCATGATTCGGCAAGACAGAACAGCTACGTCTGGTAAGACAAGGGGCGGCGGTCTATGTCCATTTGTAAACAGAAGGAGCGCTAGGTCTAATATTAAGGAAGTCTCGAGGTTTTGCTCGCCCGAGGTAGAGTATCTCATGATAAGCTGTAGACCACACTATTTACAAAGAGAGTTTTCATCTATATCTTTTGTAGCTGTCTATTTACCACCACAAACCGATGCTGGCATTAAGACCGCACTCAACGAGCTGTATAAGACCATAAGCAAACAGGAAAACGCTCATCCAGAGGCAGCGCTCCTAGTGGCCGGGGACTTTAATGCAGGAACATTTTTTATCAGTTTGACCTAATTTCTACCAGCATGTCACATGTGCAACCAGAGAAAAACAAAACCAAACTCTAGACCACCTTTACTCCAAACACAGACACGTACAAAGCTCTCCCTCGCCCTCCATTTGGCAAATCTGACTATAATTATATCCTCCTGATTCCTGCTTATAATCAAAAACTAAAGCAGGAAGCACCAGTGACTCGCTCAATACGGAAGTGGTCAGATGACGCAGATGCTAAGCTACAGGACTGTTTTGCTAACACAGACTGGAATATGTTCCGAGATTCATCCGATGGCATTGAGGAGTACACCACATCAGTCACTGGCTTCATCAATAAGTGCATCGATGACGTCGTCCCCACAGTGACCGTACGTACTGTACATACCCCAACCAGAAGCCATGGATTACAGGCAACATCCGCACTGAGCTAAAGGGTAGAGCTGCCACTTTCAAGGAGTGGGACTCTAACCCGGACGCTTATAAGAAATCCCGCTATGCCCTCCGACGAACCATCAAACAGGCAAAGAGTCAATACAGGACTAAGATTGAATCCTACTACACCGGCTCTGACGCTCGTCGGATGTGGCAGGGCTTGAAAACTATTACAGACTACAAAGGGAAACCCAGCTGCGAGCTGCCCAGTCACATTAGCCTACCAGATTAGCTAAATGACTTCTATGCGCGCTTCGAGGCAAGCAACACTGAAGCATGCATGAGAGCACCAGCTGTTCCGGACGTCTCTCCCCCTCCTACGTCTCTCCCTCTCCATCTCATACGTCTCTCCCCCTCCTAAGTCTCTCACTCTCCTCACCCCCTCCTAAGTCTCTCACTCTCCTCACCCCCTCCTACGTCTCTCCCTCTCCATTCTCCCCCTCCTACATCTCTCCCCCTCCCTTTTTCCTCCGTCCTCCCTTCCCATTAGAGGGGGACGTGGGAATCTAAGGACGCGCTGTCCGCTCTAATACACATTGTCACCATGCTGTGTTGGGACGCACCACGGGGGGAGGAAACAATCAGACCGCTCTCTAATTTGCTAGTCGGACCAAAGTGGAGCTGTCAGAATCCCCCAGATTAACCCTCTCTCTCCCTCTTAAGACACACAGAAGTACAATGCTACACTAGATGGGGTAGGGGTTAGTGTGTACCTGTTAAGTGCTCCAGGTAGGATCTGTAGAGTGTACACTAGATGGGGTAGGGGTTAGTGTGTACCTGTTAAGTGCTCCAGGTAGTGTCGGTACAGAGTACACTGGATGGGCGTGACTCTGACAGACACAACGTACTCATGTTTAGGAGGCAGGAACTTGGTCAGGGCAGAGTAGTCTCTTCTCTGTAGAGAGAGCAGAGAAAGAGAGAGAGCAGAGAGAGAGAGAGACAGAGACACAGAGAGAGCGAGAGACAGAGACACACAGAGAGAGACACAGAGAGAGAGACAGAAAGAGGGAGGAGAGAGAGAGAGAGAGAGAGAGAGAGAGAGAGGGAGGTAAACAGTAGTGTCTTCTCTGTGAAGGGAGGGACACAGTTAAAGAGCGACAATTAAAAAAACTATTTATCTAGTTGCATCGCTATCAGTCAGAAACATTTATTCTAGTGTCAAAATGGTCTACAAAGTGTAGGACAATTTGGTCAAAGTCAGTCTCGTCCAAAACTGAGATTTGCGTGGTAAAGTGGTATCCATGAGTTCATCTGATAAAGGGCCTCATCGGCAAAATCCCAAAGAATCCCTTAAAGTAAATTTCCTGCAATTCTAAACATTTTGTCATGTTAATAATATGATATCGGAGTGAGTGACTTATAAAATCCATGGGGGCCCCTGGAGGTCAGGGCCCCTGGAGGTCAGGGCCCCTGGAGGTCAGGGCCCCTGGAGGTCAGGGCCCCTGGGCACATGCGTGCCCGGTCTGTATTCGGCCATGATCACTACAAGTTTGGACAACTGGCTAGACGAATTTACCAATCTAAAAATTGTTAGCTGACATCGCTGATTGAGTGACTCACATAAGAGAGAAACTGCTGATGCACAAACACATTTTGAAAATTTCACCTTGTATGTTCTGTTCTAACTCTCAACAATAAGTTGAGAACCTGACTGAGTTCCTAAAAAAAACTAACAGGGGGGGGTCCGTTTTTGGAAATGGATCCGCGGGCCTATAAAAGGGAGGCTGTGAGCTGCCAGTTATCCACAGTGTTACCTGTCCACAGTGTTACCTGTCCACAGTGTTACCTGCACACATCCATTGAGCATCTCGTAGAGGATGTGAGCCCTCTTCTTCATGATGCGTACATCCTGGTCTGTGGAGTCCGCTGCCTGTCCGTTCTGGATGGGGTTGACGAAACGGTTCCTAAACTCCTTCACGGACCCCAGCAGGTTCTCCTTGATGAAGTTCACCATGCAGTGGTCTGGACAGGGCAAACACACATTGGTACACTTCCAAAATACAGTGGTATCATAAGTATTCACCCCGCTTAGATTTCTTCACATTTTGTTTTGTTACAAAGTGAGATTAAAATTGATTTAATTGTTTTTTTTAAATTTTCGACCATCTACACAAAAAACTATAATTTTTGAAAATTGTATGAGAAAATAAACAGTAATATACTATATGATTAGATAAGTACTCACCCCGTGAGTCAATACATGTTAGAAACACCGTCTTTGGTAAGTCTCTAAGAGCTTTTCCACACCTGTATTAGCCCATTATTCTGTTTATAATTCTCCAGGCTCTGTCAAGGCTAGACTGACATGTTCAAGCAGATTTAAAGGTGCAATATGCAGAAATCGCTCCGCCATTTCCTGGTCGCTAAAATTCCAATAGTTACCCTAATTTCATTTGTAGAATTGTATTTTCACTTTGACATCATTATTGTGTAGATCAATGACAAAAATCAATTTTAATCCCTTTAACAGAACAAAATGTGAAAGAATCCAAGCGGTGTGAAAACTTATGATACTACAGAAACAGGAGATAGACTAGTGTCCTGTACATCAAGCTGTCTCACTACAGAAACAGGAGATAGACTAGTGTCCTGTCCAGGGGGTGTACTGTACATCAAGCTGTCTCACTACAGAAACAGGAGATAGACTAGTGTCCTGTCCAGGGGGTGTCCTGTACATCAAGCTGTCTCACTACAGAAACAGGAGATAGACTAGTGTCCTGTCCAGGGGGTGTCCTGTACATCAAGCTGTCTCACTACAGAAACAGGAGATAGACTAGTGTCCTGTCCAGGGGGTGTACTGTACATCAAGCTGTCTCACTACAGAAACAGGAGATAGACTAGTGTCCTGTCCAGGGGGTGTCCTGTACATCAAGCTGTCTCACTACAGAAACAGGAGATAGACTAGTGTCCTGTCCAGGGGGTGTACTGTACATCAAGCTGTCTCACTACAGAAACAGGAGATAGACTAGTGTCCTGTCCAGGGGGTGTCCTGTACATCAAGCTGCCTCACTACAGAAACAGGAGATAGACTAGTGTCCTGTCCAGGGGGTGTCCTGTACATCAAGCTGCCTCACTACAGAAACAGGAGATAGACTCCTGCCCTATGGGCCGTTCTGGCTAGCTAACACTGTAACATACACTCTGACTCCTGACCTATGGGCCGTCCTGGCTAGCTAACACTGTAACATACACTCTGACTCCTGCCCTATGGGCCGTTCTGGCTAGCTAACACTGTAACATACACTCTGACTCCTGCCCTATGGGCCGTCCTGGCTAGCTAACACTGTAACATACACTCTGACTCCTGCCCTATGGGCCGTTCTGGCTAGCTAACACTGTAACATACACTCTGACTCCTGCCCTATGGGCCGTTCTGGCTAGCTAACACTGTAACATACACTCTGACTCCTGCCCTATGGGCCGTTCTGGCTAGCTAACACTGTAACATACACTGACTCCTGCCCTATGGGCCGTTCTGGCTAGCTAACACTGTAACATACACTCTGACTCCTGCCCTATGGGCCGTTCTGGCTAGCTAACACTGTAACATACACTCTGACTCCTGCCCTATGGGCCGTTCTGGCTAGCTAACACTGTAACATACACTGACTCCTGCCCTATGGGCCGTTCTGGCTAGCTAACACTGTAACATACACTCTGACTCCTGCCCTATGGGCCGTTCTGGCTAGCTAACACTGTAACATACACTCTGACTCCTGCCCTATGGGCCGTTCTGGCTAGCTAACACTAACATACACTCTGACTCCTGCCCTATGGGCCGTTCTGGCTAGCTAACACTGTAACATACACTCTGACTCCTGCCCTATGGGCCGTTCTGGCTAGCTAACACTGTAACATACACTCTGACTCCTGCCCTATGGGCCGTTCTGGCTAGCTAACACTGTAACATACACTCTGACTCCTGCCCTATGGGCCGTTCTGGCTAGCTAACACTGTAACATACACTCTGACTCCTGCCCTATGGGCCGTTCTGGCTAGCTAACACTGTAACATACACTCTGACTCCTGCCCTATGGGCCGTTCTGGCTAGCTAACACTGTAACATACACTCTGACTCCTGCCCTATGGGCCGTTCTGGCTAGCTAACACTAACATACACTCTGACTCCTGCCCTATGGGCCGTTCTGGCTAGCTAACACTGTAACATACACTCTGACTCCTGCCCTATGGGCCGTTCTGGCTAGCTAACACTGTAACATACACTCTGACTCCTGCCCTATGGGCCGTTCTGGCTAGCTAACACTGTAACATACACTCTGACTCCTGCCCTATGGGCCGTTCTGGCTAGCTAACACTGTAACATACACTCTGACTCCTGCCCTATGGGCCGTTCTGGCTAGCTAACACTGTAACATACACTCTGACTCCTGCCCTATGGGCCGTTCTGGCTAGCTAACACTATCATACACTCTGACTCCTGCCCTATGGGCCGTTCTGGCTAGCTAACACTGTAACATACACTCTGACTCCTGCCCTATGGGCCGTTCTGGCCAGCTAACACTGTAACATACACTCTGACTCCTGCCCTATGGGCCGTCCTGGCTAGCTAACACTGTAACATACACTCTGACTCCTGCCCTATGGGCCGTTCTGGCTAGCTAACACTGTAACATACACTCTGACTCCTGCCCTATGGGCCGTTCTGGCTAGCTAACACTGTAACATACACTCTGACTCCTGCCCTATGGGCCGTTCTGGCCAGCTAACACTGTAACATACACTCTGACTCCTGCCCTATGGGCCGTTCTGGCTAGCTAACACTAACATACACTCTGACTCCTGCCCTATGGGCCGTTCTGGCTAGCTAACACTAACATACACTCTGACTCCTGCCCTATGGGCCGTTCTGGCTAGCTAACACTGTAACATACACTCTGACTCCTGCCCTATGGGCCGTTCTGGCTAGCTAACACTAACATACACTCTGACTCCTGCCCTATGGGCCGTTCTGGCTAGCTAACACTAACATACACACTGACTCCTGCCCTATGGGCCGTTCTGGCTAGCTAACACTGTAACATACACTCTGACTCCTGCCCTATGGGCCGTTCTGGCTAGCTAACACTGTAACATACACTCTGACTCCTGCCCTATGGGCCGTTCTGGCTAGCTAACACTAACATACACTCTGACTCCTGCCCTATGGGCCGTTCTGGCTAGCTAACACTAACATACACTCTGACTCCTGCCCTATGGGCCGTTCTGGCTAGCTAACACTGTAACATACACTCTGACTCCTGCCCTATGGGCCGTTCTGGCTAGCTAACACTAACATACACTCTGACTCCTGCCCTATGGGCCGTTCTGGCTAGCTAACACTAACATACACTCTGACTCCTGACCTATGGGCCGTTCTGGCTAGCTAACACTGTAACATACTCTGACTCCTGCCCTATGGGCCGTTCTGGCTAGCTAACACTGTAACATACACTCTGACTCCTGCCCTATGGGCCGTTCTGGCTAGCTAACACTAACATACACTCTATGAGGTTGTTCTGCAGCGGGGTGCCGGTGAGCACCACTCTCCGTCGGGTCCTGATGGAGTTCATGGCTTTAGAGACGGCCGACGCCTCGTTCTTCAAGATGTGGCCCTCATCACAGATCACAAAGTCTGGGCCTGGGGAGGAGATGAACACAGAGCAGAGAGAGTTGAGAAGAAACTGGATACAAGAATTAACCGTGTGTGTGAGTGTGTGTGTGTGTGTGTGTGTGTGTGTGAGTGTGTGTGTGTTCTACCTACCTGGGTCACCGTGTGTGTGTGAGTGTGAGTGTGAGTGTGTGTGTGTGTGTGTGTGTGTGTGTGAGTGTGTGTGTGTTCTACCTACCTGGGTCACCGTGTGTGTGTGAGTGTGAGTGTGAGTGTGTGTGTGTGTGTGTGTGTGTGTGTGTGTGTGTGTGTGTGTGTGTGTGTGTGTGAGTGTGAGTGTGAGTGTGTGTGAGTGTGAGTGTGTGTGTGTGTGTGTGTGTGTGTCCTCTCCCTACCTGGGTCGACCAGGGTCTTCTGGAAGGTCTCTTTGAGTTTCTTGCTCTTGATGTTTCTTCCCTGTGTGAGGTTCCGGTACATCTCATAGCCAATGATCATGATACCCCCATCCTCCTGCCACTGCTGCAGAGCATAGGCCCTCTCCTGGGGACGCTTTACTGTGGCCAGCTCCGTCACCTAGTGACACACACACACACACACACAGCGGGAGCACAGACACACATCTTTCAGAAACACACACACACACACACACATATATATACACATATACACTACCAGTCAAAAGTTTGGACACACCTACTCATTCAAGTTTTTTTTAAAACTATTTTCTACATTGTAGAATAATAGTGAAGACATCAAAACTATGAAATAACACATATGGAATCATGTAGTAACCAAAAAAGTGTTAAACAAATCAAAATATATTTTAGATTTGAGATTCTTCAAAGTAGCCACCCTTTGCCTTGATGACAGCTTTGCACACTCTTGGCATTCTCTCAACCAGCTTCATGAGGTAGTCACCTGGAATGCATTTCAATTAACAGGTGTGCTTTCTTAAAAGTTCAATTGTGGAATTTCTTTCCTTCTTAATGCATTTGAGCCAATCAGTTGTGTTGTGACAAGGTAGGGGGGGTATACAGAAGATAGCCCTATTTGGTAAAAGACCAAGTCCATATTATGTCAAGAACAGCTCAAATAAGCAAAGAGAAACGACAGTCCATCATTACTTTAAGACATGAAGGTCAGTCAAAACGGAACATTTCAAGAACTTTGAAAGTTTCTTCAAGTGCAGTCGCAAAAACCATCAAGCGCTATGATGAAACTGGCTCTCATGAGGACCGCCACAGGAAAGGAAGACCCAGAGTTACCTCTGCTGCAAAGGATACGTTCTTTAGAGTTACCAGCCTCAGAAATTATCTCTGCATGTGCATTTCCCACCGTGAAGCATGGAGGAGGTGTGATGGTGCTTTGCTGGTGACACTGTCTGTGATTTATTTAGAATTCAAGGCACACTTCGATACGCCATCCCATCTGGGTTGGGCTTAGTGGGACCATCATTTGTTTTTCAACAGGACAATGACCCAAAACACACCTCCAGGCTGTGTAAGGGCTATTTGACCAAGAAGGAGAGTGATGGAGTGCAGCATCAGATGACCCGACCTCAACCAAATTGAGATGGTTTGGGATGAGTCGGACAGCAGAGTGAAGGAAAAGCAGCCAACAAGTGCTCAGCATATGTGGGAACTCCTTCAAGACTGTTGGAAAAGCATTCCAGGTGAAGCTGGTTGATAGAATGCCAAGAGTGTGCAAAGCTGTCATCAAGGCAAAAGGGTGGCTCCTTTGAAGAATCTCACATTTATTTTGATTTGTTTGACACTTTATTGGTTACTACATGATTCCATATGTGTTATTTCATAGTTTTGATGTCTTCACTATTATTCTACAACATAGAAAATAGTAAAAAATAAAGAAAAACCCTTGAATGAGTAGGTGTTCAAACTTTTGACTGGTACTGTAAAAATCAATAAAGAGTAAGCGTGTACCTCTAAACTCTCCTCGTCCTTGAAGCCGTACTGCCACTTCTCAAACTCATTCAGCCAGTTCAGAACAGTGTTGAGAGGACAGACGATCAGAGCCGTGGAGAAGTCCAACTTGTCACACAGCAGTAGAGTGTGGAGTAGAGCCACCACCTAGTGATAGAGACAGGGTTAGATACAGTATAGACAGCAGTAGGACTACCACCTAGTGATATAGACAGGGTTAGATACAGCATAGACAGCAGTAGGACTACCACCTAGTGATATAGACAGGGTTAGATACAGTATAGACAGCAGTAGGACTACCACCTAGTGATATAGACAGGGTTAGATACAGTATAGACAGCAGTAGGACTACCACCTAGTGATAGAGACAGGGTTAGATACAGTATAGACAGCAGTAGGACTACCACCTAGTGATATAGACAGGGTTAGATACAGTATAGACAGCAGTAGGACTACCACCTAGTGATATAGACAGGGTTAGATACAGTATAGACAGCAGTAGGACTACCACCTAGTGATAGAGACAGGGTTAGATACAGTATAGACAGCAGTAGGACTACCACCTAGTGATATAGACAGGGTTAGATACAGTATAGACAGCAGTAGGACTACCACCTAGTGATATAGACAGGGTTAGATACAGTATAGACAGCAGTAGGACTACCACCTAGTGATATAGACAGGGTTAGATACAGTATAGACAGCAGTAGGACTACCACCTAGTGATATAGACAGGGTTAGATACAGTATAGACAGCAGTAGGACTACCACCTAGTGATATAGACAGGGTTAGATACAGTATAGACAGCAGTAGGACTACCACCTAGTGATAGAGACAGGGTTAGATACAGTATAGACAGCAGTAGGACTACCACCTAGTGATATAGACAGGGTTAGATACAGTATAGACAGCAGTGCATTCGGAAAGTATTCAGACCCCTTTACTTTTTCCACATTTTGTTTTGTTTGTTTTGCCTTATTCTAAAATGAATTAAATATATATATATCCTCAATCTACACACAATACCCCATAATGACAAATAAATAGGGTCATTGTCCTATTGTAAGGTGAACCTTCGCCCCAGTCTGAGGTCCTGAGCGCTCTGGAGCAGGTTTTCGTCAAGGATCTCGCTGTCCTTTGCTCTGTTAATCTTTCCCTCGATCCTGACTAGTCTCCCAGTCCCTGCCGCTGAAAAACATCCCCACAGCATGATGCTGCCACCACCATGCTTCACCGTAGGGATGGTGCCAGGTTTCCTCCAGACATGACGCTTGGCATTCAGGCCAAAGAGTTCAATCTTGGTTTCATCAGACCAGAGAATCTTGTTTCTCATGGTCTGAGAGTCTTTAGGTGCCTTTTGGCGAACTCCAAGTGGGCTGTCATGTGCCTTTTACTGAGGAGTGGCTTTCGTCTGGCCACTCTACCATAAAGGCCTGATTGGTGGAGTGCTGCAGAGATAGTTGTCCTTCTGGAAGGTTCTCCCATCTCCACAGAGGAACACTGGAGCTCTGTCAGAGTGACCATTGGGTTCTTGTTCACCTCCCTGACAAAGGCCCTTCTCCGATTGCTTAGTTTGGCCGGGCGGCCAGCTCTAGGAAGAGTCTTGGTGGTTCCAAACTTCTTCCATTTAAGAATGATGGAGGCCACTGTGTTCTTGGGGACCTTCAATGCTGCAGAAATGTTTTGGTACCCTTCCCCAGATCTGTGCCTCGACACAATCCTGTCTCGGAGCTCTACGGACTTCCTTCGACCTCATGGCTTGGTTTTTGCTCTAACATACATTGTCAACTGTGGGACCTTATATAGACAGGAGTGTGCCTTTCCAAATCATGTCCAATCAATTGAACTTACCACAGGTGGACTCCAATCAAGTTTTTGCTTTGTCATTATGGGGTATTGTGTGTAGATTGATGAGGGGAAAAAAACAATTTAATCCATTTTAGAATAAGGCTGTAACGTAACAAAATGTGAAAAGTCGAGGGGTCTGAACACTTTCCGAATGCACAGTACCTACAGTTGAATTCGGAAGTTTACATACACCTTAGCCAAATACATTTAAACTCAGTTATTCACAATTCCTGACATTTAATCCTAGTAAAAATTCCCTGTCTTAGGTCAGTTAGGATCACCACTTTATTTTAAGAATGTGAATTGTCTGAATAATAGTAGAGTGAATGATTTATTTCAGCTTTTATTTATTTCATCACATTCCCAGTGGGTCAGAAGTTTACATACACTCAATTAGTATTTGGTAGCATTGCCTTTAAATTGTTTAACTTGGGGTCAAACGTTTCGGGTAGCCTTCCACAAGCTTCCCACAATAAGTTGGGTGAATTTTGGCCCATTCCTCCTGACAGAGCTGGTGTAACTGAGTCAGGTTTGTAGGCCTCCTTGCTCGCACACGCTTTTTCAGTTCTGCTTTGTGATTGCCACTCCAATACCTTGACTTTGTTGTCCTTAAGCCATTTTGCCACAACTTTGGAAGTATGCTTGGGGTCATTGTCCATTTGGAAGACCCATTTGCGACCAAGCTTTAACTTCCTGACTGATGTGTTGAGATGTTGCTTCAATATATCCACATAATTTTCCTTCCTCATGATGCCATCTATTTTGTGAAGTGCACCAGTCCCTCCTGCAGCAAAGCACCCCCACAGCATGATGCTGCCACCCCCGTGCTTCACGGTTGGGATGGTGTTCTTCATCTTGCAAGCTTCCCCCCTTTTCCTCCAAACATAACGATGGTCATTATGGTCATTACAGTTCTATTTTTGTTTCATCAGACCAGAGGACATTTCTCCAAAAAGTACGATCTTCGTCCCCATGTGCAGTTGCAAACCGTAATCTGGCTTTTTTATGGCGGTTTTGGAGCAGTGGCTTCTTCCTTGATGAGCGGCCTTTCAGGTTATGTCGATATAGGACTCGTTTTACTGTGGATATAGATACTTTTGTACCTGTTTCCTGCAGCATCTTCACAATGTTCTTTGCTGTTGTTCTGGGATGGATTTGCACTTTTTGCACCAAAGTATGTTCATCTCTAGGAGACAGAACGTGTCTCCTTCCTGAGCGGTATGACGGCTGCGTGGTCCCATGGTGTTTATACTTCTTTTTTTCATTTTTTGTCATTTAGCAGACGCTCTTATCCAGAGCGACTTACAGAAGCAATTAGGGTTAAGTGCCTTGCTCAAGGGCACATCAACAGATTTTTTCACCTAGTTGGCTCGGGGATTAGAACCAGCGACTGGCACAACGCTCTTAACCACTAAGCTACCTGCCACCCCCATATACTTGCGTACTATTGTTTGTACAGATGAACGTGGTACCTTCAGGCATTTGGAAATTGCTCCCAAGGATGTACCAGACTTGTGGAGGTCTACAATTCTTTTTCTGAGGTCTTGGCTGATTTCTTTTGATTTTCCCATGATGTCAAGCAAAGAGGCACTGAGTTTGAAGGTAGGCCTTGAAATACATCCACTGGTACACCTCCAATTGACTCAAATTATGTCAATTAGCCTATCAGAAGCTTCTAAAGCCATGACATCATTTTCTGGAATTTTCCAAGCTGTTTAAAGGCACAGTCAACTTCTGACCCACTGGAATTGTGATACAATGAATTATAAGTGAAATAATCTGTCTGTAAACAATTGTTGGAAAAATTACTTGTGTCATGCACAAAGTAGATGTCCTAACCGACTTGCCAAAACTATAGTTTGTTAACAAGAAATTTGTGGAGTGGTTGAAAAACGAGTTTTAAATGACTCCAACCTAAGTGTATGTGAACTTCCGACTTCAACTGTAGATAGAGCGTGAAGTAGAACATTTCACACTGCAACAGAGTAAGGCACGGTGTCACCCCCTAGTGGTAGGAGCAGGTAACGACAGGGTCAGTTCAGATAAATAGTTATATGGTAGACATTATGCTCCTCCCACAACTAGAGAAACATCGCCTTCTATAGGAAGATACCGAAATGACGACCAGAAACAACAAGTGTGTGGTACGGACCTGCAGTGTTTTGCCCAGGCCCATACAGTGAGCCAGGATACATCCAGAACCAGAGTTCTTCTTGGTTTTCTTCACCGATTCACAACAGCAGTCCCACATGAACTGGACCCCTAGAGAGACAGACAGACGTCACTCTACACCCAAAGCTTTTCTCAGACTACAGAAATCCTACCATTGTTGGCAGCACTGAACCTCGTCTGTTTGGTGTTGACACAGTCAGCCATGAAGCATGACTTGATAAGTAAGTAAACAAGTGAGTAAAAGTGGGGCCTGATCATCAATCTACAACATTATGATTAAAGACAAACATTGTTCTCTCACCGTTGGTTTGACCTGGTTTGGGTTGGTCACTACTAACACTACTACTACACCATTGGTTCTGCTACGACACCATGGGCTCTGCTACTACTACTACTATACCAATATGAGTCTCTCACCGTCGACCTGGTGTGGTTTGAGCTTGGTGACCAGGTTGCGGTGGACCTGCACCATGGGCTCCTTGGTCTCCTCGTCTTCATCCAGCACCAGCTTGGTTGTGATTGGACAAGCCACGGCGGACGCCTCCTCCACCACGAGTACCTGTTCGGGAGGGACATATAGAGTCTAGTCTAAAAGCATTACAGTCTGTACATACAAACACATACATTTATTCTGCTGGTTGGGACAGGTTTTACGTTCCTAGGAGTATAGGGCAGCTGATCTTCTAGACTAAAAGCATTCAAACCTTTACAGATATTGACAAATTCACACTAAGGAAACGCTAAGCGACTTCCACTGTATTCAAAAAGTGCTTACAGTACATTTATAGTATATGTGATCCCTGTGGGAACTTGGCATAGCTGGTGCCATGCTCTTAACTGAGCCACAACGGACCATAAATCCATCTGGCTCCTCAGCTTGGACTCAGTCTATCTTTCATCTTCATTTCCATCCCATTAGTCGATGCCATGACGACAGCTAGTCTTCCTGGAGTACATACACACACACACAGTTGACTTTCTACCTCTCTGAGTTTCTCCCTGAGCTGCTCCCTCTCCGCGATGCGCCTCCTCCTCTCCTCCTCCTCCTTAAGGGCGTCCCTGGTTTCAGTCCTCAGCTTGTCGTCCTTGAGGATCTTTCTGATCTTCTTCCTCTGTCCTTTAGGAGAGTCTCCGTCCTCCTTCCCCGAGCCGTCCTCTCCTGACCCGCTCTGGAGGAGGGAATGAGGGTTAACCTCTGCCCTTTCAACTTCAACCCCCAGGGGTCAACTAACCAATCACACATTGTGACCTATGACGTGGTAACCAATAAAACATTGACCAATCAATCTGAATTCCAGATCAAACTCCCTCCTAAACACTTCTATATTTGTAAGGAGAATACCCTTCCCCAATACCTTCTCGTCGGACGAAGAGTCCTGGACCTTGATGCGGCGGCGTTTCTTCTTCTGGGCGTAGCTCCTCTCCTCCTTCTTCTTCTTCTTATTCTTGGAGGAGCGTGTGGTCCTCTTGCGGCTGCTGCCCTCCTCCTGTGACTCCTCCTCAGACTCCTCCTCCTCCTCCTTCTCACTGATCTCCTCACTCACTCCTGACTCACTGCTGCTAGCTGACTCCTCGAAGTCTGAGTCTGCTGAGTCGTCACTACCCCCTGGAGAGGGAGGGAGAGAGAGAGAGAGGTGAGAGAAATCGAGGGGGGAGAGGGAGGAGAGAGGGGCGAGGGAGGAGAGAGGGGCGAGGGAGGAGAGAGGGGCGAGGGAGGAGAGAGGGGCGAGGGAGGAGAGAGGGGCGAGGGAGGAGAGAAATCGAGGTGAGAGGAGAGGGGGGAAGGAGAGAGGAGAGGAGAAAGAGGGAGAGGGGGAGAGGACGGCGAGAGAGACGGGGAGGGAGGGAGAGCTGAGTGACAACAGTCATAGCAGTTTGCAGAGTAGGACATTCATTCAGTTCCATAGGTGTTGACACAGGCCTAGACACAGCCAGACAGCCAGACAGCCAGACAGCCAGACAGCCAGACAGCCAGACAGCCAGACAGCCAGACAGCCAGACCGGGCCAGACAGACCGGGCCAGACAGGCAGAGCAAGCCACACTGACAGCCCTCATACCTTTCTGTCTGGTCCTCTTGGTCTCCTTCTTCTTCTTCCTGCTGGCTGGTTTCTCTTTCTCCTCTCCTGACTCTCCCTCACTCAGCGTCAGTTTGTGGCGGAGCAGCCGGTGGCGACGCCCCCCACCCTTCTTCACGTCCACGTCAGAGCCAGAGTCCCCATCATCATCATCATCATCATCTGCTGAGGGGAACACAGTCATTTAGGGTTTTCTACATCTAGTCTAGTGATATCATAAAACACAGCACTGCAGAATCACTCCTTCAATGTATCAAACTAAAAAGAGATTGTAGCTCACCCTCCTCCTGCTCCTCTCCATCCTCCTCTCCTCCCTTCTCCTTCTCCTGTTCCTTCTCTTCTCCGTCCTCGTCCTCGTCCTCGCTCTCCTCTGCTCCTGAGGAGTAGCTGGCCTTTATCTGGGCCAGCAGCATCTTCTTGGCAATTCTATTAAGGAGGAAGTCAAGGACAGGAGGAAGTCAAGGACAGGAGGAAGGACAGGAGGAAGTCAAGGACAGGAGAAGGACAGGAGGAAGTCAAGGACAGGAGAAGGACAGGAGGAAGTCAAGGACAGGAGAAGGACAGGAGGAAGTCAAGGACAGGAGAAGGACAGGAGGAAGTCAAGGACAGGAGAAGGACAGGAGGAAGTCAAGGACAGGAGAAGGACAGGAGGAAGTCAAGGACAGGAGAAGGACAGGAGGAAGTCAAGGACAGGAGGAAGGACAGGAGGAAGTCAAGGACAGGAGAAGGACAGGAGGAAGTCAAGGACAGGAGAAGGACAGGAGGAAGTCAAGGACAGGAGAAGGACAGGAGGAAGTCAAGGACAGGAGAAGGACAGGAGGAAGTCAAGGACAGGAGAAGGACAGGAGGAAGTCAAGGACAGGAGAAGGACAGGAGGAAGTCAAGGACAGGAGGAAGTCAAGGACAGGAGAAGGACAGGAGGAAGTCAAGGACAGGAGAAGGACAGGAGGAAGTCAAGGACAGGAGAAGGACAGGAGGAAGTCAAGGACAGGAGGAAGTCAAGGACAGGAGAAGGACAGGAGGAAGTCAAGGACAGGAGAAGGACAGGAGGAAGTCAAGGACAGGAGAAGGACAGGAGGAAGTCAAGGACAGGAGGAAGTCAAGGACAGGAGAAGGACAGGAGGAAGTCAAGGACAGGAGGAAGGACAGGAGGAAGTCAAGGACAGGAGAAGGACAGGAAGTCAAGGACAGGAGGAAGTCAAATGAAGGACGTTTGTCAGTCAGCTGGTTGAGGACATGTTTGGTTTCTATACCTGTTCTCTGGATCCTCATCATCGTCAGCCATCTGAGAAGCGTCATGGTTACCTTCATCTCCTACAGACACACAGAGGAGGTCAGGGGTTAGAGGCAGTGTTTTCCATTAGCCGTCAGCTAATCAGCCAGTTAGACGCAGTGTTTTCCATTAGCCATCAGCTAATCAGCCAGTTAGACGCAACTTCTGCTGACTACTTTTTCCCACTTCATATTAACGACGTTACTTTTCATTAAAAAGTTTCCGTTCGCTAGTCTGTCGAGCCCTCTCCCGCTAGATTGAACGATATGCATCTTCTAGCGATCTGTTGATAGGAAAGGCGCCTGTACTGTCAGTCACAAAGTGAGCGGGAAACGCAGTCTACCATCTGTCCCGCCTCCCGGTACAGTTTGTGTGCGCTGTGGTTGGTTGCAGTTGAATTTCTTTACACAGAGCATGCTGGTGAATTTGCACGTCCCATGTAATATAAATGGAAACTTTGCCTAATTGTTGTTTTCTGGCACATTAATTTATTTTGCATGTTTCCCGCAGAGCCACGGCGCAGGCTATTTACTGTGCTTTGACAACTGAACACCAAGTGTTGACTAGTTTATAAAAAGGTGTAGAACTAACTGAATAAAGTTGATCTCCTATACCCCTTCATAAAATCATGTCCATGGTATCGCAACGGGACAAGTAAACCAAAGGATTCCCTAGGTTTCCTTTCCTAGAATGTAGTGGCTGGACAGACAGTGACGCTAAAGTCAGTGACTCTCGTCAGTCAGTGTAGGCTAACGAATCACATCGACGAGAGAGACGTTCATTAATTTGCACAGGCTATTGGTAGGCCTAGTCTTTTGGTGATTATCTGCAGATAAATTATGAAAACATCCGATGAAGACGGTGAATCATCACTGCAGGAACAATAGATAGTGGAGCCTCATTCTGGTCCAGATATGATCATTAGGGACCACACAGAATCCAGGCATTAAATAACTAATTCAGTAACACTTTACTTGACACCCAGCTTCATAAACGCGTTATGACACGGTCATAACCATGTCGTAATACCGTCGTGACCCATATATTTACACCTTTCAGTTTTTTATGGCTGGTCAGGGCCCCGTGTAGCTCAGTTGGTAGAGCATGGCGCTTGCAACGCCAGGGTTGTGGGTTTGATTCCCACAGGGGGGCCAGTATGAAAAAAATGAAAAAAATAATAATAACTCTAACTGTAAGTCGCTCTGGATAAGAGCGTCTGCTAAATGACAAATGTAAAATGTTATGACACCTACATGAGTGTCAAAACCCACATTAAGTGTTTTTCCCTGCCAACTTAGAAAATAGTTCTGATCATCTAGTCCAAGACCTAGACAATATCCAAAACAACTAACACACTGAATTCAGACATATTCAGTCATTTAAATTGTAAAGTCATGTCTTTCTACACCAGGGCTCTCTAAGCCCATTCCTGGAGAGATACCATCCTGGAGGTTTCCACTCCAACCCTGTTCCTGGAGAGCTACCCTCCTGTAGGTTTCCACTCCAACCCTGTTCCTGGAGAGATACCGTCCTGTAGGTTTCCATTCCAACCCTGTTCCTGGAGAGATACTGTCCTGTAGGTTTCCACTCCAACCCTGTTCCTGGAGAGATACTGTCCTGTAGGTTTCCACTCCAACCCTGTTCCTGGAGAGATACTGTCCTGTAGGTTTCCGCTCCAACCCTGCTCCTGGAGAGCTACCCTCCTGTAGGTTTCCACTCCAACCCTGTTCCTGGAGAGCTACCATCCTGTAGGTTTCCGCTCCAACCCTGTTCATGGAGAGCTACCATCCTGTAGGTTTCCACTCCAACCCTGTTCCTGGAGAGCTACCATCCTGTAGGTTTCCACTCCAACCCTGTTCCTGGAGAGATACTGTCCTGTAGGTTCACTCCAACCCTAATCTAGCACACCTGATTCTAATAATTAGCTGGTTTATAAGCTGAATCAGGTTAGTTACAACTGGGGTTGGAGCGAAAACCTCCAGGAGGGTAGCTCTCAAGGAACAGGGTTGGAGAATAAACCTCCAGGAACAGGGTTGGAGAATAAACCTCCAGGACCAGGGTTGGAGTATAAACCTCCAGGACCAGGGTTGGAGTATAAACCTCCAGGACCAGGGTTGGAGTATAAACCTCCAGGAGGGTAGCTCTGCAGGAACAGGGTTGGAGTATAAACCTCCAGGACCAGGGTTGGAGTATAAACATCCAGGAGGGTTTCTCTACAGGAACAGGGTTGGAGTTAACCTACAGGAGGGTAGCTCTCCAGGGTTGGAGTATTAACCTCAGCTAATCCCTACCATTGGGACGCAGAGTTGTCAAAATGCTTCAGCAAATGTACATTACATCAGGGGCGTCGGTAGACACAATGTGGGTAACCTGGTTTGTGTCCCTCTAGCTGCCCTGGGTGCCTCTGCTGATCCTGCAGCTATTGTGTGCAGTAATCATGTGCCCAGGAACCAGATTTATACTGTTAGCACTGAGCCGGTGTGCCCGAGGAGGCAGTCCACCGTGTGCAGCTCACCCTGCACTAACATAAAGAACATGAGCACATCTACTGCTGCTAAGCTTCCCAGTAAAGCAATAACAACAAGTAAGCATCCCAGAAGAAAAGTGCTCAAAATAGCCCACGTTAACATATGTAGTTTAAGAAACAAGATTGCTAGTAACCTGGTTCAGGTCATCAGTCAACCTACCAGGTTGGTAACAAACAGCATAGGAATTAAATCATCAACATGTATTGATCATATCTTTACTAATGCTGCAGAGATTTGTTTGAAAGCAGTATCCAAATCCATTGGATGTAGTGATCACAATATAATAGCTATATCTAGGAAAACCAAAGTTCCAAAGGCTGGGCCTAATATTGTGTATAAGAGGTCATACAATACGTTTTGTAGTGATATTTGTTGGTCCGTGGTGTGTAATGAGGAGCAAACAGACGCTGCACTTGACACATTTATGAAATTGCTTATTCCAGTTACTAATAAGCAGGCACCCATTAAGAACATGACTGCAAAAACTGTTAAATCCCCTTGGCTTGATGAGGAATTGAAAAATTGTATGGTTGAGAGGGATGAGGCAAAAGGAATGGCAAATAAGTCTGGCTGCACAACCGATTGGCAAACGTACTGCAAATTGAGAAATCATGTGACTAAACTGAATAAAAAGAAGAAGAAACTACACTATGAAACAAAGATAAATGACATAAAGAATGATAGTAAAAAGCTTTGGAGCCCCTTAAATGTTAGACTTCAGTGCGGCTTTTGACATTATCGATCATAGTCTGCTGCTGGAAAAACGTATGTGTTATGGCTTTACACCCCCTGCTATGATGTGGATAAAGAGTTACTTGTCTAACAGAACACAGAGGGTGTTCTTTAATGGAAGCCTCTCCAACATAATCCAGGTAGAATCAGGAATTCCCCAGGGCAGCTGTCTAGGCCCCTTGCTTTTTTCAATCTTTACTAACAACATGCCACTGGCTTTGAGTAAAGCCAGTGTGTCTATGTATGCGGATGACTCAACACTATACACATCAGCTACTACAGCAACTGAAATAACTGCAACACTTAACAAAGAGTTGCAGTTAGTTTTGGAAATGGGTGGCATGGGAATAAGTTAGTCCTGAATATTTCCAAAACTAAAAGTAATGTACAAATCATTCACTAAACCTCAACTACATCTCGTAATGAATAATGTGGAAATTGAGCAAGTTGAGGTGACTAAACTGCTTGGAGTAACCCTGGATTGTAGACTGTCATGGTCAAAACATATTGATACAACAGTAGCCAAGATGGGGAGAAGTCTGTCCATAATAAAGCGCTGCTCTACCTTCTTAACAGCACTATCAACAAGGCAGGTCCTACAGGCCCTAGTTTTGTCGCACCTGGACTACTGTTCAGTCGTGTGGTCTGGTGCCACCAGGAGGGACTTGGGAAAATTACAGTTCGCTCAGAACAGGGCAGCACGGCTGGCCCTTAAAAGTACACGGAGAGCTAACATTAATGACATGCATGTCAGTCTCTCCTGGCTCAAAGTGGAAGAGAGATTGACTTTATCACTGCTTGTTTTCATAAGAGGTGTTGACAAGCTGAATGTACCGAGCTGTCTGTTTAAACTACTAGCACACAGCTCGGAAACCCATGCATACCCCACAAGACATGCTACCAGAGGTCTCTTCACAATCCCCAAGTCCAGAATAGACTATGGGAGGCACACAGTACTACATAGAGCCATGACTACATGGAACTCTATTCCACATCAGGTAACTGACTGATGCAAGCAGTAGAATCAGATTTAAAAAAAACAGGTAAAATACACCTTATGGAACAGCGGGGACTGTGAAGAGACACACACAAGGGTATAGACACATGCATATGCACACATTGTGATATTGTTGTATGGTGGTATTAAACATTTTGTATTGTAGATATGTAGTGGTGTAATACTGTCATATAATGTACTGTTTTATATTGTGTTTACCATTTAATATAAGTGCTTTAATATGTTTGGACCCCAGGAAGAGTAGCTAATGGGGATCTCTAATAAATACAAATACAAATCTCCAGGAACAGGGTTGGAGTATAAACCTTCAGGAGGGTAGATCTCTAGGATTATTCCATAATTCCGCGGTGTATTTGATGGAATCACGGCATTAAAATGTCCCAGAAGCCGTGGAGGACTTCTTTTTCTTCTTCTTAGCGTCTTCGTCCGAGTCAGACTCTGAGTTGTCGGAGTCTTTGGCTTTTTTGGTATTAAACATTTTGTATTGTAGATATGTAGTGGTGTAATACTGTCATATAATGTACTGTTTTATATTGTGTTTACCATTTAATATAAGTGCTTTAATATGTTTGGACCCCAGGAAGAGTAGCTAATGGGGATCTCTAATAAATACAAATACAAATCTCCAGGAACAGGGTTGGAGTATAAACCTTCAGGAGGGTAGATCTCTAGGATTATTCCATAATTCCGCGGTGTATTTGATGGAATCACGGCATTAAAATGTCCCAGAACAGAGCTACTCTATGTACTTGAGGAAAACACTGTAGAGGTCTGGGGTTAAGTCAGTGGCGTTTACGTCCAGCTGTATTTATAATAGAGTGAACCGTCTGCCTTGTAGAAACAGAGAGCCCAATATACAGCTTTCAGAAACAACAGCTCTACTCACCCGAGGACTGGTGGAAGGTTCCCCTCCCCGCTACCAATGTCTCCTCCACGATGGGTTTAATCTTCTGCTGGTCTGCACTCTCCTCTCCAGACCCTCCTCCCCCCTCCTCCTCCTCCTCCTCCTCCTCCTCCTCCACATCAGACGATGAATCTTGCTGCTTGGCTCCTCTACCTCTGGCTTTGCGTTTCAGCTCGTACGACCGCTTCCGATCCCTGCCCTTGTTCTCCTCCTCCTCCCTTTCTTTCTTTACACGGCTGCTCCTCCGTTTCCCCGGTTTGCTGAGTGTCTTCATCTCCTTCTCCAGGTCAGAGTCGGAGTCAGAGGAGCCGTCCGAGCCCTTCTGCTTCTTCTTCTTGGATGTATTTTTGGCAGAAGCCGTGGAGGACTTCTTTTTCTTCTTCTTAGCGTCTTCGTCCGAGTCAGACTCTGAGTTGTCGGAGTCTTTGGCTTTCAGTTTGCGTTTGGCCGCCGGCTTCTTGTCGGTCTTCTCCTTGTCATTCTCTCCCTCCTCCTCCTCCTCCTCTCCCTCCTCCTCCTCCTCCTCTACCTCCCCCCCGTCTTTCTTGCGCAGTTTGAACAGGCACTTCTTGACGCTCCTGTTGCCCTGGTTACCGTTGGCTTCCTGCTGCACATCCTCGTCCGAGCTGTGTTCCGCCGCTGCAGTCTGGACCAGGATGTCTGGAACCTCGTCAGAATCCGAGTCCACGTCCTGTTTAGAAGAGTCAGAGGTCACCTTGGAGGAGGCCTTGGAGGAGGCCTTGGAGGAGGCCTTGGAGGAGGCCTTGGAGGAGGCCTTGCTCTCTTTCCGTTCCTTCCCCTTCTCGGAGCTGCCCTTGGTTCTCCTCTTCAGCTTGCTGGGGCTCTTCTCCTCTCCCTCTGAGTCGCACTTCTCCTGAGAGGAGGCGGACATCTTGTTCTTCCCCTCCGGTGACTTCCTGAGGGGTGTGGTCTTTGTGCGGCTGGAGCGTCGGCGGTCCTCCTCAGAGCCCCCACCTCCCTCCACCTTCTTACTCCTCTCTTTCTCCTTCCCTCCATCCTTATCCTTGCTCTTAGACCTGGAGGTGCGTGTGGTAACCACGGGAACGGGCGTCAGCTTCACGATCAGGTTCTTCACCTTGGGCATGGCCTTCTCCTTCTGGGTGTCATGTGACTTCCTGGTTGAGCCAGCGGCAGGGCTCTCTGATTGGCAAGCCGCTGTGGGTTCCGTGGCGTCGTTACCGGGCGTTAACCCTGTGGAGTCCGCCAGACTCTCGACCATCTGGAAGAGCTCGTCTGGGACGGACGGCCCGACGGACACAATGTCTTTATCCCGGTCACCCTCCTCCTCCTCCTCCTCCTCCTCCACTTTCACCGCTGTCTGGTCTTTGGCCTGGCTGTCTGTCTCTGAGTGGTCCTGAGGCTTGGGGGTGGGGCTCCCCTCCATCTCTGTGTCCTCTGACACGCCCCCATCCTCCCCCTCCTCCTCTGGCTCCTCCCCATCCTCAGTGTCAGCCATTTTGACCTCTTCTGCCTCCTGCCCATCCTCAACCATGTTGTCCATCTGATCGTGGCCATCATGGCCGTCGGTGTTGGAGACCGCATCCCCGTTCTGCATCCCCTGGTCCTGGGAAGTGAACTGTGACTCCAGGTCCTCCTCCAGGGCAGCATGGGCCTTCTTCAGATCAGCCAGAACAGACCTAGAGAGATCGATTGATAGATAATAATTAAGCAAATAATCAGAATTGGGCTGCCTCATATCCTTTGTAGCAGTCATTATATCAACATGTGTTATGATACCTGAAGGCCTTGAGGTGTCTGTGTCTGGTCCCGCTGCCGCCTCCTCCTGCTCCCTGCTCCTCCTCAGCCTGCTGGATGAACTGGATGAAGGTGTTGTTGAGCCCTGTGGTTGTCTCAATCAGCTTCTTGGTCCTCTTCACCAGCTCCTTGGGGACCTTCAGGGTCTTATAGGAGAAGGTGAGGGTCCCTGACCCGTCTGAATGCTCCTTACCGTTCACCACAGCTTTACCATGGTGGTGGTGACCTTTACCCTTACTGTGCCCTTTCACCTCCTTCCTCTCCTTCTCCTCCCTTTCTTTCTTGCGTCCCGTGCGCCAGAAGCTCTCCAGCTTGGTCATGATGTTGGAGCAGTTGGAGGCGATGTCGGCGAGGGGCTGGGGGCTGCAGATATAGCAGGACCATTTACTGTTATCGTCGGTGATCATGGACAGCTCCTTGCGCCCCAGGTTACGCAGGATGCACTTCTTACAGAAGGCGTTGTGGCAGTAGTCACAGCAGATCAGGTTGCCACCTTCAGCACACCACCTGGGGGGCGTAGTTAGACAGCAAGGAACGTCAACTTCAAAACAACCTGATGTAGCTTTATTGGGATTTGCAGCTGTTGTTGGGAAGTACTGAATTGTTCTAAAAATGACTTACTGAACGTTAACACCCAGGTGTGTCCCCCAAACAGCACCCTATTCCCTATATAGCTCTATGTGCCCTTGTCAAAAGTAGTGCACTATATAGGGAATAGGGTGCCAGTTCGGATGTAACCCTTGATGTGGACTAAAATAGTACTCATAATTGAGAGCCAATATTCTGCAAGAGGTGCCAATACTCAAGCAGTAGAACAGTGAGGGGACCTACCTGCACTGTTCATCCATGTTTCTGTGTTCTGTGAGGTGACCTACCTGCACTGTTCATCCATGTTTCTGTGTTCTGTGAGGTGACCTACCTGCACTGTTCATCCATGTTTCTGTGTTCTGTGAGGTGACCTACCTGCACTGTTCATCCATGCCGTCCTCGTCTTTATTGATGTCATCGCTGGTGTAATACTTATAGCACGACTAGAGGAAGAGAAAACAAGGGAGGAACATTGGAAAATATAATACTGAGACAGACAAAGCAACTAGTGCCATTACCTGCCATATGTCCCATTAATGTTCAAAAGACAGGTGGATCTACCTGGAGCATATGGCCGAAAAATCACATTTGGAATTTTTCTAACTTATTGCCAATTCAGGATATACAGTGCATTCAGAAAGTATTCAGACCCCTTTACTTTTTCCACATTGTTACGTTACAGCCTTATTCTAAAATGGATTAAATTGTTATTTCCCTCATCAATCTACACACAATATCCCATAATGACAGAGTAAAAACAGATTTTTAGAAATGTTTACTAATTTATAAATAATAAACTTTAATATCACATTTACATCAGTATTCAGACCCTTTACTCAATACTTTGTTGAAGCACCTTTGGCAGCGATTACAGCCTCGAGTCTTCTTGGGTATGACGCTACAAGCTTGGCACACCTGTATTTGGGGAGTTTCTCCCATTCTTCTCTGCAGATCCTCTCAAGCTCTGTCAGGTTGGATGGGGAGCGTCGCTGCACAGCTATTTTCAGATCTCTTCAGAGATGTTAGATCGAGTTCAAGTCCGGGCTCTGGCTGGGCCACTCAAGGACATTCAGAGACTTGTCCCTAAGCCACTCCTGCGTTGTCTTGGCTGTGTGCTTAGGGTTGTTGTCCTGTTGGAAGGTGAACCTTCGCCCCAGTCTGAAGTCCTGAACGCTCTGGAGCAGGTTTTCATCAAGGATCTCTCTGTACTTTGCTCTGTTCATCTTTGCCTCGACCCTGACTAGTCGACTTCCCAGTCCCTGCCGCTGAAAAACATCCCCACAGCATGATGCCACCCCCTTGCTTCACCGTAAGGATGGTGCCAGGTTTCCTCCAGACATGGCGCTTGGCATTCAGGCCAAAGAGTTCAATCTTGGTTCCATCTTGTTTCTCACTTTCATGTGCCTTTTCCTGAGGAGTGGCTTCCGTCTGGCCACTCTACCATAAAGGCTTGATTGGTGGAGAGCTGCAGACATGGTTGTCCTTCTGGAAGGTTCTCCCATCTACACAGAGGAACTCTGGAGCTCTGTCAGAGTGACCATCGGGTTCTTATGCAAATAAGGTATTTTTAAACACATTTTTTATACATTTGCACACATTTCTACAAACCCGTTTTCGCTTTGTCATTATGGGGTATTGTGTGTAGATTTCTGAGGATTAAATATATATATATTTTTTTAAATCCATTTCAGAATAAGGCTGTAACGTAACAAAGTGTTGAAAAAGTCAAGGGGTCTGAAAACTTTCCCAAGGCACTGTATACATCCATATCTAGATGTTTTAAATGTTTTCTCCAAATAAGCTTTGTTGTACAATTAAAGGTCAAATACACTGCATTTAAAACAGTCAGCAATAATCTAATTAATTCAGGGCTTGTGAAATTATACCTAGGATAAATATAATCCTTTCACAGCCATAAGACCCACTCAGAATTTAATTATGTTTATCTAAATAGTTGAACCTGCTTTTTTGCAATAATCACTGACATGGCTTTCAAGTATAAGAAAATGCCCTTTTTTTTGTTATTAATTTTTTTGCAGGACCATAACGCACATTCACTAATAATGTCAAACTTCTGGCAGCGCTATGGAGCATTAACACAGGTCTCAAACAATCTCTCAAGCACAAGCCCACGTGCTAGTGGCTAGCTAGCTAAAATTTATATTTCAAGTTCAGCCCACTTTATTTATTTGCTAGCTAACAAGGCAGAACAGTTGAATTGTTATGAACACACCCTTCTGTCCATCTCCAGCTGTTTGAACAGCATGCTAGCCTACAGCATGTTAGCCTGTCCACTTTGTTCGTATGTTGAAATCAAGTGGCCTACCTTATTTCTCAGAATGAGAACAAAATGCCAATTCCTTAGTGTTTTATGCTTATTTCACAATTATAAAACTAGACAGCTATTATAAAAGTATTTGGCTAAAATGCTGCTAGCGGTACTTAGTAGCACAATGACGCACACGACAAACTGAGCCTTCATTTTCCAGAATCAATGTTCATTTATTTAATTTAATTTATACTCCTGTTTTAGTAGTGTCTGCTCTGCGCACAATTTGAGTAGTTGAGACATAAAAAGGGTATTGTTAGAAAGGTTAACTTCTCTATTACAGTAAAATAATGTCTCAATGTGTTTCAGTGTCCATGTGACCGATTCGGTTGGACCAAACCTCAAATACCAAGTTGAAACCGCTTGTCAGAGAGGAAGAAGTGATCTCTCATCTTTGTTTTGGCGTGAGGCAGGGGGAGGGGCTTGGTGTGTGTGTAAACCAGAGAGGAAGAGGCGAAGTGAGAGGTTTCACTCTCGACAAAATCTGTCCAAAATAAGGCCACTGTGTTTCTATGGGATTATATTGGACCTAAACTTGTCATCTGCCTTCCCACCTTTGGGATGACTCCCATTCTAGTCATTATATCCAGATCTCTGGTGTAAATGGAACAGAATGAGTAAAGGAGACCAGACCTAAAAGATGAGAACAAACGGACATAAACGAACATTAACATTTTACATTTAATTTAAAAAAAACGTGACCCTTGTGACACAGGCATTTGGAATATCTCGTAAAAACATACATTCTAATTAATCCGATATATCGCCAAACCCTAATGGAGCACGGGGGTGCTGAGAGAGACAGAGGGAGAGCGACGGAGAGAGACAGACAGAGAGGGAGAGCGACAGAGAGAGAGACAGACAGAGAGGGAGAGCGACAGAGAGGGAGAGACAGACAGAGAGAGAGACAGACAGAGAGAGAGACAGACAGAGAGGGAGAGCGACGGAGAGAGAGACAGACAGAGGGAGAGCGACAGAGAGAGAGACAGACAGAGGGAGAGCGACAGAGAGGGAGAGACAGACAGAGAGAGAGACAGACAGAGAGGGAGAGCGACAGAGAGAGAGACAGAGAGAGAGAGACAGACAGAGAGGGAGAGCGACGGAGAGAGACAGACAGAGAGAGAGACAGACAGAGAGAGAGACAGACAGAGAGGGAGAGCGACAGAGAGAGAGACAGACAGAGAGAGAGACAGACAGAGAGGGAGAGCGACAGAGAGAGAGACAGACAGAGAGGGAGAGCGACGGAGAGAGAGACAGAGCGACGGAGAGAGAGAGAGAGACAGAGAGGGAGAGAGAGAGAGAGAGACAGAGAGACAGAGCGACGGAGAGAGAGAGAGAGAGAGAGAGAGAGAGAGATACAGAGGCTAGACAGAGACAGGATAGACGGACAGAGGACAGACGGATGGAGATAGGGTGTTGCAGGGGTATCTACCTTGCAGAGGAGCACATGGAGCATGGGGTGCTCAAACACCGAGTGGCGCTGGAAGTGGTTGACCTGCTGTCCACAGGCGGTGCAGTCTATTCGCTCCTGCAGAGTGGTATCTGGACAAACACACAGAGGAAGGCCGAGAGACCAGCATGTGTTGTTTACATCCAACATCATGATGATTGGCTGAGAGAAATTGATTATAAAATGATTGTGGGGGCTGTTTTGTTAGACTTCAGTGCGGCTTTTGACATTATAGATCATAATCTGCTGCTGGAAAAACGTATGTGTTATGGCTTTACACCCCCTGCTATGATGTGGATAAAGAGTTACCTGTCTAACATAACACAGAGGGTGTTCTTTAATGGAAGCCTCTCAAACATAATCCAGGTAGAATCAGGAATTCCCCAGGGCAGCTGTCTAGGCCCCTTCCTTTTTTAAATCTTTACTAACAACATGCCACTGGCTTTGTGTAAAGCCAGTGTGTCTTTGTATGCGGATGACTCAACACTATACACATCAGCTACTACAGCATCTGAAATGACTGCAACACTTAAAGAGCTGTAGTTAGTTTCAGAATGGGTGGCAAGGAATAAGAAAAGTAAAAGTAATGTACAAATCATTCACTAACCCTCAACTACATCTCGCAATGAATAATGTGGAAATTGAGCAAGTTGAGGAGAATAAACTGCTTGGAGTAACCCTGGATTGTAAACTGTCATGGTCAAAACATATTGATACAACAGTAGCTAAGATGGGGAGAAGTCTGTCCATAATAAAGGGCTGCTCTGCCTTTTTAACAGCACTATCAACAAGGCAGGTCCTACAGGCCCTAGTTTTGTCACACCTGGACTACTGTTCAGTCATGTGGTCAGGTGCCACAAAGAGGGACAAATTGCAATTGGCTCAGAACAGGGCAGCACGGCTGGCCCTTGGATGTACACGGAGAGCTAACAATCTCTCATGGCTCAAAGTGGAAGAGAGATTGACTTCATCACTGCTTGTTTTTGTAAGAGGTGTTGCCAAGCTGAATGTACCGAGTTGTCTGTTTAAACTACTAGCACACAGCTCGGACACCCATGCATACCCCACAAGACATGCCACCAGAGGTCTCTTCACAGTCCCCAAGTCCAGAATAGACTATGGGAGGTGCACAGTACTACATAGAGCCATGACTACATGGAACTCTATTCCACATCAAGTAACTGATGCCAGCAGTAGAATCAGATTGTTAAGAGACACACAAAAAGGTACAGACACGCATATGCACACATGATAACAGATAGCGTACATTGTAATACTGCTGTATGATGGTATTATACATGTTGTATTGTAGATATGTAGTGGTGTAATAATGTTATATGATGTACTGTTTTATCTTTTGTTTTATTTGTAATGTAAACACTTTAACGTGTCGGACCCCAGGAAGAGTAGCTGGGATCTCTAATAAATAAATACAAATACAAATATCCCAAACGGATTGATTTCATTAAACTGGCAGCAGTTCTGATTATTAGGCTGTAGGAACACCCTTCCTGGTCAAAACCTTGCTTTTAAAAAAAACAATGGGAGCATCCAAACAGTTTGCATGTGTTTCTCTGACTATCCCCTGGTTAGTAGCAGTGTGACTAACCTGTCTTTTTCCGTGAGAGGTCCACTCGGAGCTTCATGGCTCCTCTGCTCTTGTCCTCCTTATTGTCAGTCCTAGCGGGAGGAGGCCGCACCACCAACATCCCTGAAGGAGAGGACTTAGGGTGTCAGTTGGGCCTAGCCGAACCAACAGTCTGCTCCACACTCCCTTAAAACACCTTCCCTTGAAAAACTAGAAAAAAGCTGCAATAGCACTGTTTGTCCATTTTGAGATGCCGTAGCCAGTATGCACTTCTTCAAAATAGAACTAATCTAAGATAACAAGAAATCTGTAAGTAATTTTGACATTTTTGCCAAAGAGATCTTAGTCGCGCAATTTTACATCTAACTAAGATGTTTGGCGCAGTGTTTTCCGATGAAAAAATCTGAATGAAAATGGGTTGTCTCTTGTTGAATGACTAAGACTTTACTGAAGAATCCCTACTGTTGACATATCACTGATGAGTGTAGACTTCGACTCCGAACTTAAGCCTGTGCCTGAACAGCCGGAAAAAAACAAAAATGTCCTCATAATATTCAGTGCATTCGGAAAATATTCAGACTTTGTTACGTTACAGCCTTATTCTAAAATGGATTTAATTGTTTTTTTCCCCTCAATCTACAAACAATACCCCATAATGACAAAGCAAAAGCAGGTTTAGACATTTTTGCAAATTAATTAAAGTAAAAACTGAAATAATAAATTTCATAAGTATTCTGACCCTATACTCAGTACTTTGTTGGCAGTGATTACATCATCGAGTCTTCTTGGGTATGACACTACAAGCTTGGCACACCTATTTTTGGGGAGTTTCTCCCATTCTTCTCTGCAGATCCTCTCAAGCTCTGTCAGGTTGGATGGAGAGCTTCGCTGCACAGCTATTTCCAGGTCTCTCCAGAGATGTTAGATCGGGTTCAAGTCCGGGCTCTGGCTGGGCCACTCAAGGACATTCAGAGACTTGTCCTGAAGCCACTCCTGTGTTGTCTTGGCTGTGTGCTTAGGGTCGTTGTCCTGTTGGAAGGTGAACCTTCGCCCCAGTCTGAGGTCCTGAGCGCTCTGGATCTCTCTGTACTTTGCTCCATTCATCTTTCCCTCTCGATCCTGACTAGTCTCCCAGTCCCTGCCGCTGAAAAACATCCCCACAGCATGATGCTGCCACCACCATGCTTCACCGTAGGGATGGTGCCAGGTTTCCTCCAGACGTGACGCTTGGCATTCAGGCCAAAGAGTTCAATCGTGGTTTCATCAGACCAGAGAATCTGGTTTCTCATGGTCTGAGAGTCTTTAGGTGCCTTTTGGCAAACTCCAAGCGGGCTGTCATGTGCCTTTTACTGAGGAGTGGCTTCCGACTGGCCACTCTACCATAAAGGCCTGATTGGTGGAGTGCTGCAGAGATGGTTGTCCTTCTGGAAGGTTCTCCCATCTCCACAGAGGAACATAACAAAATGTGGGGAAAGGGCAGGCCTCTGAATACTTTCCGGATGCACAAACTCTACCGAACTGTTTCGGCTGGGAAGCCTTTAGGGCGTGTCCCAAACGGCGCCCCATTCCCATAGTGCACGGCTTTAGGGCGTGTCCCAAAGGGCAGCCCATTCCCATAGTGCACGGCTTTAGGGGGCGTGTCCCAAAGGGCAGCCCATTCCCATAGTGCACGGCTTTAGGGGGCGTGTCCCAAAGGGCACCCCATTCCCATAGTGCACGGCTTTAGGGGGCGTGTCCCAAAGGGCACCCCATTCCCATAGTGCACGGCTTTAGGGCGTGTCCCAAAGGGCACCCCATTCCCATAGTGCACGGCTTTAGGGCGTGTCCCAAAGGGCACCCCATTCCCATAGTGCACGGCTTTAGGGCGTGTCCCAAAGGGCACCCCATTCCCATAGTGCACGGCTTTAGGGCGTGTCCCAAAGGGCACCCCATTCCCATAGTGCACGGCTTTAGGGCGTGTCCCAAAGGGCACCCCATTCCCATAGTGCACGGCTTTAGGGGGCGTGTCCCAAAGGGCACCCCATTCCCATAGTGCACGGCTTTAGGGGGCGTGTCCCAAAGGGCACCCCATTCCCATAGTGCACGGCTTTAGGGGGCGTGTCCCAAAGGGCACCCCATTCCCATAGTGCACGGCTTTAGGGCGTGTCCCAAAGGGCACCCCATTCCCATAGTGCACGGCTTTAGGGCGTGTCCCAAAGGGCACCCCATTCCCATAGTGCACGGCTTTAGGGCGTGTCCCAAAGGGCACCCCATTCCCATAGTGCACGGCTTTAGGGCGTGTCGGGCACCCCATTCCCATAGTGCACGGCTTTAGGGCGTGTCGGGCACCCCATTCCCATAGTGCACGGCTTTAGGGCGTGACCCCATTCCCATAGTGCACGGCTTTAGGGGGCGTGTCCCAAAGGGCACCCCATTCCCATAGTGCACGGCTTTAGACCAGATCCCATAACTCTCAACAACTGCTTTTTCACCACCACATAAAACCTTGAATATCAACTCAGAATAAATAGACTGGCAGAAACATTATTATCCACAAAACGCAACATTTGGCACCACAACGATATGAAGAGGCATTAAAACACTGGCCCCAGGTCTAGTTGTAGCCCTTACCATCTGAGGGGTTGTCAGAGGCGCCATCTTCCTGTCCACTCTCATTCGAGGTGGCAGACTCATTCCCTCCGGTGTGCTTGGCTGCGACAGCAGGCTTCCTCTTGGTGTGAGAAGGGGAGGGTCTCTCGGTGTCTGAGCTCCCAGGCTGAGGAGTAAACAGTTATCATGAGTCTAATAAAAACCTCCAAGAGGAAAAAGCCTTAGAATAGACCCGTATTGTCCCATCATCTCCCACAGCAGCTAGAGACTGGTTGCACCCTATTCCCTATATACTACTTTTAACCAGTTCTTGTAAAACATGTTTATGTTTGTGCCCAGGTGAATACATTTGAAAAAAGTACAAGGGGAAATAGAAAGACAATCTGATGTTGACCTACCTCCTCCATCACTTGGTCTGTAATCTGATGTTGACCTTCCTCCTCCATCACTTGGTCTGTAGATTCAGCTGAGGCCATACTCATTTTACCTGCCAACAACAAGAAACCATTAGGTCTGAAATTATACAATAACAAAACAAATTTAAAATAATCAACAGCGGATTAAATTAGCATCAGGTTAAAGGCTCTTTCCTTTTCCTAAGTAAAAGTTATCCAGTTATAAGAACACTCAGAAGCAAAACAGCCCGATTGTGATCAAGATCTAGGGCTCAAATGGTACCCTATTCCCCATGGGCCCTGGTCAAATGAAGTGCACTAATTAGAGAATAGGGTGCGATTTCAGATGCAACTCTAGATATAACGTTGGCTGTTAGAAACTAAACTCACTAACAACCTAGAATCTATGACAACTACTGTAACTGTATTCAGCTCAATAAGGAGACGTATAGCACAGCATAGACCAGCATCACCAGTACGAGTTTCAATTACATTTGGACATGGCACCTAAATTAGCCGGATTACGGCCTACTGTTTCAACAAAAATGGGTCTTCCACCATTGTTTTTGTAATATAAACATGGGAAATTAGCAACCCTGGGCAGGCACTAGCTAGATAGTTCAAATAAAATGATATTCGTCAAATGCTTACTTATTGGGCCTTCCCAACAATGCAGAGAGAAAGAAAATTAGAAAAGTAAAATTCAAAATACAAATTCAAATGAGTAACGATAACGGGGTACCGAGTCCATGTGCAGGGGTATGAGGTAATTCAGATAGATACAGTGCATTCGGAAAGTATTCAGACCCCTTCCCTTTCTCCACATTTTGTTACGTTACAGCCTTATTCTAAAATGGATTAAATGTTTCCCCCTCATCAATCTACACACAATACCCCATAATGACAAAGCGAAAACAGGTTTATAGAAATCTTTGCAAATGTATTCAAAATAAAAAACAGAAATACCTTATTTACATAAGTATTCAGACCCTTTGCTAGCTATGAGACTTGAAATTGAGCTCAGGTGCATCCTGTTTCCATTGATCATCCTTGCGATGATTCTACAACTTGATTTGGAGTCCACCTGTGGTGATTTCAATTGACTGGACATGATTTGGAAAGGCACACACCTGTCTAAAACCAAGCCATATGGTCGAAGGAATTGTCCGTAGAGCTCAAGGACAGGATTGTGTCGAGGCACAAATCTGGGGAAGGATACCAAAACAATTATGCAGCAGTGAAAGTCCCCAAGAACAGTGGCCTCTATCATTCTTAAATGGAAGAAGGGCGTTGGTCAGGGAGGTGACCAAAAACCCAATGGTAACTGACAGACATCCAGAGTTCCTCGGTGGAGATGGTTGTCCTTCTGGAAGGTTCTCCCATCTCTGCAGCACTCCACCAATCAGGCCTTTATGGTAGAGTGGCCAGACGGAAGCCACTCCTCAGTAAAAGGCACATGACAGCCCGCTTGGAGTTTGTCAAAAAGGCACCTAAAGGACTCTCAGACCATGAGAAACAAGATTCTCTGGTCTGATGAAACCAAGATTGAACTCACATTTGGAGGAGCAGCATCATGCTGTGGGGATGTTTTTCTGCGGCAGGGACTGAGAGACTAGTCAGGATCGAGGGAAAGATTAACGGAGCAAAGTACAGAGAGATCCTTGATGAAAACCTGCTCCAGAGCGCTCAGGACCTCAGACTGGGGCGAAGGTTCACCTTCCAACAGGACAATGACCCTAAACACACAGCCAAGACAACGCAGGAGTGGCTTCAGGACAAGTCTCTGTATGTCCTTGAGTGGCCCTGCCAGAGCCCGGACTTGAACCCGATTGAACATCTCTGGAGAGACCTGAAAATCGCTGTGCAGCGATGCTCCCCATCCAACCTGATAGAGCTTGAGAGGATCTGCAGAGAAGAATGGGAGAAACTCCCCAAATACAGGTGTGCCAAGCTCGTAGCGTCATACCCAAGAAGATTCAAGGCTGTAATCGCTGCCAAAGGTGCTTCAACAAAGTACTGAGTAACGGGTCTGAATACTTACGTAAAATGTGATATTTCAGTTTTTATACTTTTGCTAACATTTCTAAAAACCTGTTTTCCTTTGTCATTATGTGGTATTGTTTGTAGATTGATGAGGGGAAAAAACAATTTATTCAATTTTAGAATAAGGCTGTAACGTAACAAAATGTGGAAAACGTCGAGGGGTATGAATACTTTCTGAATGCACTGCATGTGCATATAACAACGAATAAAGTGATGATATTAAACAGTAGCAGCAGCGATGAGTTAAATAAATTAGTGCAAAAAGGGTCAATGCAGATAGTTAAATAGTTAAACAAATCCCAGACTAACTATTTAGCAGTCTTATGGCTTGGGGGTAGAAGCTGTTCAGGGTCCTGTTGGTTCCAGATTTGGTGTATCGGTAACCGCTTGCCGTGCAGTAGCAGAGAGAACAGTCTGACTTGGGTGGTTGGAGTCCGACCATTTCTAGGGCCTTTCTCTGACACCACCTGGAATAGAGGTATTGGATGGCAGGGAGCTCGGCCCCAGTGATGTACTGGGCAGTAAGCACTACCCTCTGTAGCACCTTGCAGTCCGGATGCCAAGCAGTTGCCATACCAAGTGGTGATGCAGACAGTCAAGATGCTCTCAATGGTGCAGCTGTAGAAATTTGACAATCTGAGGGCCTGTCATGCCAAATAGTGTCCACCTCTGCGTCACATTGGGATATGATGAGTTCTAGCTTCTGTTGCTAGGGCTGTTTCTAGAACTTGCTAAATTCTGACCGGATTACGTAATGAACCAAAGCGTCTGTTGCTATGCTGGTTGCTTGGCTCTATTTCACCGCATAAACGCTCGCTCAGTCTGCGCAAAATTATTACCTCAGAATTGTTCTCCAAGTACAGTGTTTTTGACGGTGACAACCTGCTGCTTCAGAGAACACTCTTTTTTTTACCATATATTTGTCTTTATATAAGTAAATATTGTTAAATAGTAAGAAATAATTTAAGCTGTTTTAAGATTGACATTGCTAGCTACTGTACTTATTTACTTCAGCCTGCCTAGATAGCTAACCAGCTACAGTAGCTGGCTAGCCCGCAGACAGTTTTATTTAGCTAACGTTAGCTACTGTAACTGTTTGTATGTAGCTTGCACTTCAATGGCATTCCTCGAGGAGATTTTCATTTCATCTTTCCAACCAGGCTAAGTACTATGAAGGCACCACTGATCGACAAGAGGCGCAACATTCAGAGAAATTCACAATTCAGGGTAACGTTAAGCAGTTAACTTCTATTAGATAACTGGACAGATATAGCTATGTACAACCATTTTTCAACAACCATTTTCCTTCTAGCTAGTTGCTAGCTATACATAGTTCAGTGGAGGCTGCTGAGGGGAGGACGGCTCATACTAATGTCTGGAATGGAGTAAATTTTTTACATTTGCATTTTAGTCATTTAGCAGACGCTCTTATCCAGAGCGACTTACAGTTAGTGAGTGCATACATTATATATATATATATATATATATATATATATATATATATATATATATATATATATATATATATATATATATATATATATATATATATATATATATATATATATATATATATATATATATATATATATATATATATTTTTTTTTTTTTTCATACCCCCTGTGGGAATCAAACCCACAACCCTGGTGTTGCAAACGCCATGCTCTACCAACTGAGCTACATCCCTGCTGGCCATTCCCTCCCCTACCCTGGACGACGCTGGGCCAATTGAGATTTAAAAAAATTGTCATAGAGGACTACTGAAATTATACACTGCTCAAAAAAATAAAAGGGAACACTTAAGCAACACAATGTAACTCCAAGTCAATCACACTTCTGTGAAATCAAACTGTCCACTTAGGAAGCAACACTGATTGACAATCAATTTCACATGCTGTTGTGCAAATGGAATAGACAACAGGTGGAAATTATTGGCAATTAGCAAGACACCCCCAATAAAGAAGTGGTTTTGCAGGTGGTGACCACAGACCACTTCTCAGTTCCTATGCTTCCTGGCTGATGTTTTGGTCACTTTTGAATGCTGGCGGTGCATTCACTCTAGTGGTAGCATGAGACGGAGTCTACAACCCACACAAGTGGCTCAGGTAGTGCAGCTCATCCAGGATGGCACATCAATGCGAGCTGTGGCAAGAAGGTTTGCTGTGTCTGTCAGCGTAGTGTCCAGAGCATGGAGGCGCTACCAGGAGACAGGCCAGTACATCAGGAGACGTGGAGGAGGCCGTAGGAGGGCAACAACCAAGCAGCAGGACTGCTACCTCCGCCTTTGTGCAAGGAGGAGCAGGAGGAGCACTGCCAGAGCCCTGCAAAATGACCTCCAGCAGGCCACAAATGTGCATGTGTCTGCTCAAACGGTCAGAAACAGACTCCATGAGGGTGGTATGAGGGCCCGACGTCCACAGGTGGGGGTTGTGCTTACAGCCCAACACCGTGCAGGACGTTTGGCATTTGCCAGAGAACACCAGATTGGCAAATTCGCCATTGGCGCCCTGTGCTCTTCACAGATGAAAGCAGGTTCACACTGAGCACGTGCCAGACGTGACAGAGTCTGGAGACGCCGTGGAGAACGTTCTGCTGCCTGCAACATCCTCCAGCATGACCGGTTTGGCGGTGGGTCAGTCATGGTGTGGGGTGGCATTTCTTTAGGGGGCCGCACAGCCCTCCATGTGCTCGCCAGAGGTAGCCTGACTGCCATTAGGTACCGAGATGAGATCCTCAGACCCCTTGTGAGACCATATTCTGGTGCGGTTGGCCCTGGGTTCCTCCTAATGCAAGACAATGCTAGACCTCATGTGGCTGGAGTGTGTCAGCAGTTCCTGCAAGAGGAAGGCATTGATGCTATGGACTGGCCCGCCCATTCCCCAGACCTGAATCCAATTGAGCACATCTGGGACATCATGTCTCGCTCCATCCACCAACGCCACGTTGCACCACAGACTGTCCAGGAGTTGGCGGATGCTTTAGTCCAGGTCTGGGAGGAGATCCTTCAGGAGACCATCCGCCACCTCATCAGGAGCATGCCCAGGCGTTGTAG